TGTATCGACTTAGTAATTGAGGTTTCATTTGAAGCCTCCTAATTAACGACTTTAATCTTCCAAGGCAAAGTCCGAAATTATCGCTTAGTTTGTTCTTTGAATCTTTCCAAGGCCAACAAACTTGATATCTTCCCTTGTCCCTAGTGATAGTTTGTTTAAATTGCTGCAATGCTTTTTCATCATTGTCAGAGTTTATTTTGTCTTGTATACCCATTAATTCCAGTTTCCAAAAGTGATCTAAGTCTGGAATATTGACGGCATTGACTTGAGAAATCGGACTTACTGATGTGGTTTCTGAAATACTGTCGTGTATTTCATTTATATACCCACTTCCAGCTATTATAGGTCCAACCTTTGTATGGATCAATGAAAATCCTGATTTTAAGTTCTCTGCTTGGTCAAACTGGATAAACTTGAAGAAGTGATCCGCACCTATGAGTATGTCCGGTTGTTTCCATTTGTTTTTGAAATTACTAAACTGATTTCGTTTGTCTATCATCAACAATTCCTTTTTGTTTAGATTAACTACTTGCAATTCATTCGTCAAGTGGTTAACTGTTATTACATCTAATCGGATTATTTCTTTATTTCCAATTTTTACTCCGATTTCAGTTTTAGTAGTGATACACGTTTTTGGCGTCTTATCACCAAATGAAGCAATTTTTATTTCCATTTCGTTAGTTTCTTGTAGATTCAATCGATAAGCCAAATCCTTTGATATGAACGATAATTGAGAACCAATATCGAATAGAATTAAAGCCTTTTGTTGGATTTTTGGGCGATTTGGATTGGTTACATTTATTTCCTTACATAACAGTAAGGTTCGCTTTTTCCATTGATTTCCTTTTTCGGTAATGGAGTTAGCGATTGTGACTGAACCCAACCTTTCTTTGTTGGAATCCACTGCTTGCGTGAGTTCCTTGTAGTTGTTGGGACACAGTGCTGTATTGTGTGGACTTTTACAATGGAAACACAAAGGTTTCCCTTTTTTACAATCACTTGTTGCATGTCCTTTTCGTAAACATTTGAAACATGCAGTGATTTCTCTCAAACGTTCCATCCGGAGTTTGAGAGTGGGATAGATGTTACATTCATTGTTCCAGTGGTCCTTATTGCAAAATACGCATGGTTTCCTTTTCCCATTTATAGAAATTTTTCCTGGAACCTTTTTTGATTTGATTGTATTATCTCCCTTTGTTTGGTTGATTGTGGCGAAAGCTGACGTTTCGCCTCTAACATTATTTTTGTTTGTTTTCTTCTCCCTTGTGTCTGCTTGACTTCTAGCAACTTCTTCATTTCTTAGAACTAGTTTTGTCAGGTACTGCCGGATATCCTTAACTGACCAACTCGTCGAATCCTCTTTCAATTGGTATAATTTATCAATTATCCACGCTGGTAGTTTATTTTCAATTGTAATTTCGATGCTTGAATGCTCTAAATTTTCACCTATAGCTTCCAGTTGTCGAAATGTTCTCTCCATGGCTTCTATGGTTGCTTTCCACTCTCGGTCATTTTTTTTGATGGTATTCAACTCGTTGTAGAGTGATTTCTTTATAAGGAAAGGTTTACCATATTTCTCTTTTAGTAAACCTATTATAACATCGTAGTTTTCTGGCGCTATATCATAACCTCTTACAGATAACAAAGCATCTCCTTTAAGACATGATATCAGATAGTTTAACTTTTGAATATCTGGGATGCTTTGCTCATGGACTGCTGCCTTGAAACTACACCAAAATTGCCTCCACAATTTTGGATCCCCACTAAACGTTATTAGTGGTAATTGAGGAAGTTTTATTTCTGCTTGATTTGTGTGAATCATACTATTCTTTGGAAATGATTCTTTGACCTCTTCTTGTTTTAAATGTTGTAGTACCGAGCAATATTCATCAGTATGTATTTTAAGGGTAATAATAGTTTCTCTTGTTCTAGTGATTAAACTTAAAATACCTTGTGGATCGTCAACCATATTGGCGTATTTCGTCTCCTCTTCCTTTCTCCTCGTTGCTATTGTCAAGCTCTGAATATTATCCAGCCAATTTTGATTAGCTGTTTCGAGTAACCCAGCATAATATTCGAGATGTGCGATCTTCTCCTTGACGATTCGCAATTTAATTTCGTATTGATGCTGAAGTTCCCCTCGTGATAGTGTTTGAGACGGGGAGGTCAGATCGAGTTCACTTGCTTCTTTAAGAAGTTCTAGAGTTCTCGACTTCGATAATTCGCTTCCTTTTCTTATACTGTCGGACATGTCCCGGCTCGTGGCACCAAAATTGTAGTGGAAGCAAAAATGTTTTTGGAAACAACCTTTATGATTTGGTTAAATTGTTATTCGGGGGAGAAGTTTGATGTCAGGGAGATGTGTTGGATGCCAGCTAAATATTTGGGCAACAATTGAATAAAACTGATTCGGAGGATTGGATGATTTAAAAACAGATCTAATTGACAATAGTATGGTTATAAATCTACATTGATGTTAGACAATGATCCAAACAAAGGAGAGGAGGTGCTTGCATGGGCACCAGTTGCTAATAAAGAGCTTATTAGATAACCGCATGATTATGATAGCTAACAAAGAACAATGTAGATATCCTCATGATTGTAAGGATTGCTAACAAAGAACGATGTAAATTGTTTCAATATGTAGAAGCATAAATTTGGAAACAAAGAGTCCGAAGTATAAGCATTATTTGCGGAAATTACGTAGATATCTTTACTACAATTTGCAACTCATATTTTTAGATCGCGATATTAAAATCCGCGACAATATGAATGTTATATATCAGTGAAAAAGTAGTTATTCTGAATTATTTATTCTTTTCCCTTACTATATTGCGTGTTTGATTGAGATTCAGACGACCATGGTATTTACTCTTTTATCATTATGCATGTGTTTTTTTTCTATTTGTTTCATATATTCCTGACAGTAAATGAAAAATGTGGAGCTCGTTTGCTATTAACTTGCATTTATTTTGAGGTTATTTGTTTCATTAATTTTACTTTATTTCGATTTTTTCTTTTTCATTAAGCTATCATATTGTTATAAAAGTTGTGGAATTCTCTAACGAATGTCATTATCGATATTTGCGTAATCACGACATAAACCGTGATTACGCTATGTACAAATTTATCACAAAGGGTTTTTCCCGTGTTGGTTCCAATTACATTTTTTTTCTTTTTGCTACGTCAGTATTTTGCTCTGATATATTTGGATCTAACTTTTTTGTTTTGATAATAAAGTGGGAACCATCACTGCAAACCCTCGTTTAAAGTTAACCTACATTTAACGTCATTTACTTTCCCTTTATTCAACCCGTTGTAGTGTTTGGTTACTTTCTGTGAGCTTGTTAATTATTGGATATCAATTCAGTTGTGTGAAAAACAAATTCTCATGTCATGATATTATTGAAATGTGGTTATACGACCTTTTAAATTATTGTTCACCTGTATTATTTGGTGAAATATGGGGAAGAGGACATGCTTTTTAATATAAAGAATTAAAAAAATGCAGGTGAACTCCTCTGAGTTGTTTTAGTGAATCGAACAAACCACTTTCTTTAAGCTATTAATATAGGTTAGCAATTTTTGTGTGAAAGTGTCTGTACTTAATTAGGAAATAGGTAGGGTAAATTCACCAGTATTAATTTACCAATTCACTATTCCATATATATATATATATATATATATATATCATGGTTCGAAATTATTGTTCACCTCTAATAAACATACTAATAGTTACGAATTTATTATTGCTTCTTGCCTATTGTTTATTTGTTTCTCTTTTTTTTATACTCTGCTATACCACGACAATCCATAAATTTCTTAGTTCTTTTCTGCGTAATGAATAACTGGATAACTGTGTTCACAAATCCCGATATAATATTTAGGCAACAGGGTAGTAGTTGGAACTGAAAATAGCTTTGTTACAATCCATTTGTTGTTTTTTCAAGAATGTTGTGATAATAAGTTATATGTGGACGGGTGAATCATCATTTGTATCTATTTCCCGATCAAATGGAGACACTTTCACACGAAAAATTTTATCTGCAAAATTTACCGTTAAAATTCTCAGCAGCCCTGGTGGACATAAGGTACAATTTAGCGAAGTGTTTGCTAGCAGTCGGCATGAATTATTTTTAGGAGTAGATGCAAACGACAAGCACTGATGTCATGAGCTGTCGATACAAAACTATAAAAAGGAACAAAATCTTTGTTCTCAACAATTTTAGCCCAGGAAATCATTTCTTTTCCTACTTAGTGCTTTATATGCATTTGCTATACTTGTCATCAAAATTTTAAAAACATAGCAGAAAATTCCATATTATTGGAACCATATTGATGTTTGTTGAAGATTTTCTTCCAGCAACTCATCTTGTTGTGATGTATCCAGCCGTCGATTGTGTATTTGAAAAAATATGCGATACAAATGTGTGATAGTTGAAGCGCCAAGAAGTCTTGAAAAAAATTTTTTCCGTGTACTGTTTGAGTTTTTTCGATTAACTTTTTTCAGTGAAACGCTTTCATGTGAAGATATTTTGATCTCGATTTTATGGAAAAGCCACACCTAAATCTCAGTTGTACAAACTGATGGAGGTCTCCCGTGGTCAGTTATGGTCATAAAAAGTAATGTTTTAAGGAAAATAATCACGTTCGAAATTTCTTTTTGTTATTTTGAAAACATACATAACGGTTTAGGTTTCAATATAAATGTTATATTGCCGTCATTACACGGTGTACGAAAAGTCCACTTCTTTGATGTTTGAATAAGTTCTTGATTTTCTGTATCTCTTTTATTTTTAATTATCGTCTAGGTATCCTCGTTAGTTTTTGTTATGCCGATATACGAACCTTGATGTTCTATTTACAAAGTCAAATTCCATAGCATATTTGGCCGTCAGTTTTCCTTAGTCCACAGTTTCTTTTTGCTCCAAAGTCTTTTAGGTTGTCTTGAGTTAACGAGAGGAAATGCGTGCATAGATTGCTTCTTCTATATCACGGCTTTATGTATGACCTGGAAATGGTCAAACTTTGTACTCTCCCTCAAGCATCGATGGCAAACTATTATTAACGGTTGTCAGCATCAACTTTTGCGTAAACGTTGCTCTCTAACTTTATCTATAACCGAAATCATGTGCGCATAGTATAAATGATAAATTATTCTTACAGTTTTGAATAAATGAAGCAGAAAACTACCTAGGTGAACGATACTTGATAATGGGTGGAATAGCGAAGAAGAAATATGATGTAGAAAGGAATCGTAGCAAGTAGATAGTGTTATGGTTATGATTCCACGATATCTAGTCATCACTCTTTCGCTGTAACAAATGCGGGAATATAAGGAGATCAGTCAGCATTTCAATAGAACATACACTACCATTAAAGTGTGAATCATCTGCATAAGATATAATCGCTAATTTATTCTTTAATTTATTCCATTTTGTTTCTTCCTCATCCAGCCTTATTGGTGTCTCTATGCAAAACAAAGTTCAATAATCATCATAAAACACTATTTCAGTATCATCGACTAATTAGATCAATAAGTACTGATGCCATAAGCAAGCAGGGAGTATTGCAGGTTTTCAACAAATCTAATTATCTGCTTAAAGCTATTCAAATCATTCTTCATTTCAATATTCATTCCATCATTCCAAACCATGGAATCAAACTGCGTTTTTCTTATTTGCACGAACGAACATACCGTAATAGAGGCATGACCTATTGAACAAAAATGGTGTTCGTTTCAACTGAATTGATATCTTCCCTGAACGAGTGATGTTTTTTCTTAGAGCATTCATTGCGACATGTACTTCATAACTTTAACAAGTTTTTTCGTGGAAATTAATATTGCTGAAAAATTTTGAAGATTTAAGAATATTACTTTTCGGGAGACGTTGTTGATTTCGGGATGATTCGCTGGATGAAGTGTAAATTTGTAGAATAACAGAGGAATATAATAATTCCTTTATTAGAAGAAATAAAGTACAATGATTTGACAGAGACGAGTCGTAGTTGTATCACAAACTTGTCGAAAGCGAATCCGTCGTTTCCTTTACCAAACTTGTCGAGAGGCGAAGACTCGTTGATCTATCTTTGTTCTTAGATCAAACAAACAATGCTCCCTTTTTTGGCGCTTAGTGAAAACAATGCCGCCTTATTGATAATACAAAATAATGGCACCTTATTAATGATTATAGCAAGCAAATATGAAGAAACAAAATATATGTAGTAGATAAAAAATGTTACATGATAGCACTGCTAAAGAGTAATCGGTCTTAAAACAAAAAGCTCAAAGTACAAACATTACTTGTAAAATTTCATATATCGTATTTCTTACTCTCATATAGTAGTTTAGTGTTTTGCGACATAAAATTCGCGACAATTGCTAATTTTTTTTATTTTGACCTAAATCAAAACACAACTATCAGTTCGATTTTCTTGTAAGATAAAACAAACCTCTGAATACGAAAATGATACGGATTTCTTTTATCTCCATCCTCAAATCCATTCTTTGCTACTGATACCGTTTTTGATGACATTATTGTTGAGCTAGAAATGGCCATCTCTTTCACTGTAAAACAATATTTAAATTTGAATTAATTTTCAGATGGTAACTTAAAATTAAATTATAATGATAAGGCAAAATTTCGAAAAGATAAAAATAATTTGTAAAGAAAAAAGAAAAACATAATGATGTGTGGACTGCACAATAAGAAAAAGATGCTTTAAAACATGAACTGAAAAGTTCTTAATCTAAATAAGTATCTTCCAGAGTGATCAACTGATACAAACTGCATTTCAAATATAGTATATGCTGTATCAAATAGATCTTCATGACGAAGTAAGTGTAGATTTTAAAATTAAACTGTATGATGCAGATATCTTTTTTTTAATTTAATATGAAAAAATCTTAGATACATTTAAAAATCTGGTCTCATACTTGAAATTAAGATTTCATTTTATGAAATTTACGACTGGTTATCACATGGATAGTTGTAAGCGATGTTGGGAATTACATCTATTCTGAAAAATGAAATCTGAAATCTACGTGAAATGTGTAAGTAAATTTCCGTGGATCCCACGTATTTCATAGTTTTTTTTTTTTACATATCTTATGTGAAATATAAAATTATTAGAAACATTGACAACATTTCCCTGAAAACGTTAGTGTTAATTAATTCATATGCTATTAAGAAACACTTTATTCAAACAAATAATGAAATTAGGAAAACAGAAAATTTAAGAAACTACAGCTTGCATGAGAAATTGATAAATTAATTGCTGTTTAATATGTTGTAAAAGTTTATGGTGAAAATGGATACGCATGTGTTAGGAATGGCAGTAATAGTAAACTTCAGCTATAGCATAAACATATTTCTTTGTGAATAGAAAAAGGTGATTCCTTAGTGCTATAACTTCTTAACAAACTTTCTTTTTTAGAAATGTCTTTTTCCGAAAAGTTTATTATAAAAAAGAAAAGTCTCATCAAGGTATGACACTGTTGTCTGCTTTTGTTCTGGATGAGTTATTATCATTCACTAGACTTGGAAAATGTAAGAAGAAATGCAAACAAAAAAAAAAAAAAAAAAAAAAATAGAACAAAACAGAAGGGAAAGTAGACAGTATAACAAACACGACTATAATTTAAGAATAAAAATTCTCTGCTTAACATTAAATGCCTTATGGAAATTTTTGTTCGTTAAAGGATGTGGCAACATGTTATATTTCATAATGAACGTTTTCAGTGTTATTGAGATGTAACATTAAGTACGCCATGTTTGTTTCGTGCTATCTTATTCCAGCGAGAATTCTTACTCTCAATATTAAATTGTAGATTATACTGACTTTTAAAAAAAAGTTCATGAAAACTCCTCTTCCTCAGAGAACAAGTTGCTGAGAAAGAGAAAAAAAAAACTGTACCAGCTCCAGACCACAAGCAATAAAGGTTTCTTAACAAAAAAATACGATTTCTCGACATAAAATAGACGTGAATTGTATGTTTGTTTAGTTTTCAAAAGTTTGCTGTTGAAATTTTATGCTGAAAGTTGACTTAAAAAACTCAGTGATTTCTTGATTTCAGCTGCCGATGATTTAGGTTTGTGATAATCTCCTTCGGTATTCACTTCCAAAGCTCATGTGATATTCATTTGAATGTTTTTTAAGTCATTTTTAAGTTGTTATTTCATAATGAATGGAAAAGATATTTTTCAGTTAAGTTGCTTTAATTTTTAAATGACAACCTCTATTCTGATGGATTGTTGCACAGAAAAATGACCACCATTTAAAAAAAATCCATTTGGTATATGTGTCTCATGTGTGTTGAAATTAAAATTTTGAAACAAAGCCGGAATATTTACAAAAGTACAAATAATAATGGATGGATGGACCAGGCTAGCCTGTATATTCAGTATCATATAAATAAGGCCGATCTATACATATTCAGTGTCGTCTAAGAAATCAGTTCTTTAAATGTTTTCTATATAAAATAAGAATGAAAAGAGAAATTTCTCATATCGAAAGTGTTTGTGTATCGCTAATGATTTGGAGGAGGGCCAGCAATATCACTGCAATGAATTGCCATTTTTCCAGAGGATGCTCAAGGCCACCGAACATAAAATATGTTTGATGAGTCATGGTGCATTAAACTGCCTGACCATTATTAGTATCTTCTAACACTTTTCTACTTTTTGATAAGTTGCTCTCGAAAATTTTTGATTATTTTTGAGTTTCTTTCTGAATAGATATTGTTTCTTGGTCCGTAATTTGAAATTATTTACATTTTTTTTTTATCTAACTTTTTATTTTTTCATTTTTTTCTCTGTCACCGAAGAACTTGTGTGTCACACGATAATCGAAGAACAAACAGCATGCAGTATAGTGAGAAATTTTTAAAAAAACTTTAAAATGGGCATCCAAATATATCCACGTTATCACAACAGACCTCATTTTTCCATTCCTACCTGTCCTCGATTCCTTTTCACTTCTGGGTTGTCGTTGTGAACCGGATAGCTCGTTCTTTTCTAAAACACTGCGTATCTACCTGCTGTCTGGAACGTTTTTTGGCAGGTAACAGCAACTGCGGCAGAGTATCATTAGTCATTGGGAGTGCGATGGATCACCTGGGACAACCGTCGAGCAATCTCTATCCTCTCCATGCGCATACGCACTACATGTCGCATATGCACTGCGCATGACAATAGCAGCAGCGGTAGTGACGTTAACGCCGTTGTCACCCGTGTCACCTTCAATAGTGTCGCAGTTGGTGCCGTCCCTCTCACCATACTACTGCTGCTGTGTGCAGCTCCGATTCATTTATTTTGTTATTTGAAATTGTGTACATGGACGATGAAATAATGTTTGCCCGCTAGATGTCAAGCATTCTTCACTTGGAGTTTATTTTATTGTTGTTGCTGTTGTAGATTTGCTACTTCTTCCACCGCCTTTTCACATTTTCGTCCTTATTTCTTTCATCATCCAATTTTCTTATTTTCTGATTGTATGTATGAATTCCTTATTCAAATATTTAACTCTAGTTAAGTGTATTTTACCTGCTTCTTACTTTCAATTCAATCCACAGATTAGTGTACTGATTATAACGAATGATTCAATCTTTCCACAAATATGCTAATTTTCTACGAGCAAATTAGAAATAATTACCATGCAATCATAATAGTTGAAAATGTTGAGAAGAATTTAACTGCTAAATTGACTTTTCTGACATGTGAATGTTGCTTAAAAGTTTTTGGAATTCAATGCAAATAACATGTTCATGAGAAGGATTTGCAAGTAAACCAACGCAATCATCAAGGCTAATTTATAACAAGTCAGGAACGTAATTTTTTATTGTGATACTAAAAGCCTTTACAATTTTTATTTTTGGGGTTGAAATCACCTTGCTTCAATGAAACTAGACAAACTGCAATGATTCTTTATTATAAAATATTCTTTGTTTTAAATTCTGTACTAAAACCACTCCATATGAATGTGAAGCAAATTATGGCCATAATTCTCCTACTTTATTTGATATATTAGTTATTTGAGTCATACTATTACATCCATCATTATCACGAGTACAACTCAATTATGATTTACCTGAATACCTTTCCTTGCATTCGCAGAGAAAAGTTTTTTAAATCTCTTTTAAAAATCATTTGTAATTAATAAAGAACCATTGCAGTTTGCTATAGTTTCATTGAAGCAAGATGATTTCAACCTCAAAAATAAAAACTGTAAAGGCTTTCAATATGACAATAAAAAATTACGTTCTTGACTTATTGTAAAATAGCCTTGATGATTGTGTTGGTTTATTTGCAAATCCTTCTCATGAACACATATCAGAAAAAGCAATTTAGCAGTTAAATTCTTCTCAGCAGTTTCAATTATTATGTCAGGCAGAAAGAGAAAATTTAGTTCCAGGATTAGTGATCACTGTTTATTTATTATTATTAATTATTATTATTGCGTAGATAATAATAATGATTATTATTACTTCCCACATCTCTTGATCTTCCATACTAATTAAGTAGTTCCAACTTTTTTTTTTACAAAGGCTTTGAAGAAATTGTTTTATCGGATTGGACTTGGAGTTAAAAATCCAAAGAGATCGTATTGTGAAGTAGGAACTGCAGAATTGTTGTTTTAGTCATTTCAAGATTTTAAGGTTATTGAATAACATGCCTATCACAATTCCAGTTAATACCAAAAATGTTTTTAATTTCACTTATCTCTGTTCGATTCAGAAATCCTGTTGCTGAATTCTTTGACACTTGAAAGGAATTCTCCTATATGCATCGAAGCTTTGTTAAAGATGGTTTTCATTTCTTGCTATTTGAGCTTCATTACTTGCCTTCGTTGATACTATGATACTGTCGACATAAAGATTTTTTTTTGATTTCATTGGCAAGTTTACTTCCGTAATGTTCCAAGTAATAAACGTAGTTGGTAGTAAGAGAGTAATATCCTAATCCTGAATATTACTCCAAATGGAACTCGCTGAAATCGATAATGTTCAATATTCTTTTCTGTTACCTGTCCTTAACATTAACCAAAAGATTCGGTACAAATTCTTTCTGTTTGAAGTAATTCTAATTGCAAAAAGGCCTTTCCAATGTCTGCTGTTATAACAGCCCGCATCATGGGAAACGAAGTAGCACTTCTATCAGTTCGGTAAGAATTGTAGGTCGATGATATAAAATGTCATTCAAGTTTTCCATTCCTTTTGTGATGAGGCGTAAATAATTCCAAGTTTTTGTTATAGTTTTACTTAGACTTCTAACTTTGCGGTGAGCAAGATAATGAATAGCACTAACCTAGTCCATTTCTGGACATATTCTTCCAATAATATTGGATTGTAATTGATCGCCAATTGTATTTGAAAATTATATATCTTTATTACACTGCTGGTAGCGCCAAATTTGTCTTGCAAGTTTTTTGATTTGGGTAGTTTGATGTTTTACAGACAAGAATTGTTTAAAGATTTATGGAAAATTGATTGATAACATTATATGGCAATTATTAGTTAACAGAATGTTAATAGTCTGATATATTAGATGAAAAAGGCATACCGTAATATAATCCTATCGGAAACGCTATGTAAATAAAAAGGAAGACTTACCTATCGAACGTAAGATCAGTTATCAAAATTGAAACATTTATATATGGGTTGCTTCCTGTTATTTTAACCATTGAAGATAATTTGGTAATCGGAAATAAAGATGAGAATTAGATAACTGATTACATTAGACATCTATTCATATTTTACGTGATGAATCAATTGAGTAAAAAATATTTCTATTGTATAAATATTTTGATTGTTTGGAAGTATTTTATAAATTACTTCGGTTTTTTTTTGACCATGAACAGCTCCTTACTGCATCATGTTGAATCACATATGCAAATTATTTAAAATCTAATCCAATCTACATATGGAAATATGGAAATTATTTGATTTCATAGAAACGATTTAAAGGACAAGCTTTGTTGGCCATTAGGGGCTGCTGTTAAATGAGCTCTCATTGAAAATTTTGGACAATCATAAATCATTAAAAATCTCTAAAATCAGTTACATTCTGTTAAGAACAGTGGTGACTAACCATTCTTCTTCCAGATGAAGAATTCAATATCGAAATCATTACTAAAAATAGATTGCCAACCTGGATTCTGGACAAAATGTATCAGTAAGAAGAACAAGAAGAATGGTTAGTCACTAAATTACGACAATTCTTACGAAACTGATTCAAAGAAATAAAGAAGTCACAAGGAACTAATCTTTAGAGTGAATGGACAAAACCTAATCAAAAATGTCACAGAAGAAACTTCAACCCTAGCTAGAATGACTCCTCAAAAATATATTACTAATGCGAATGCAAAATGGCTAGTAAAACTAGAAGACTTTGCACCTTTTGCAATAAGGACAATTTGAATAATGAACATCCAACTTATTCTAGTTCCAAAAAAAGAATGGAACGGCTGAAAGAAAATAACGCCAGTCCAATCAGGCAACCTACTACAGCAAAAGGAAGCATGCACGTTTCCATTCCAAAGGCCTTCATAACACGGCGCTATGTCACACTAAATATAATGATAATGAATAACTTCTTGAAAAAAATCAAGGAAAACACAAGTCTCATAAAGGCAATAAGTCCAATCATAAAGCAGTGGAATCGAAAAGGTTAACCAGTTTTACACCTTTGCGAAGAGGTTGAAATAACCAGTTTGGTATGCTTGGTCTTATTAAGAAATCTTAGTTTTATTTGATAATATTGCATAAGTAACTTGCATATCTAAGAAACTACAAATCGATTAAATCTGGAAAATAATCACCACAGAAGATGAAATTCGCAACATTTGGTAATCGGAACCCATCAAACATCGATTGTAACTAAGGTGTGAATTGGAATAGAAACTATGAAGTAAAAAAGTATGCTGGAAACAATGTAATTTACTTATTGGAGGACATTATTTCTTCAAATCTATTCAGTTTAATAAGACTCAAACTAAAGATTTAGGATTCGCTTTGATCAATACAATAGCCGCTCCAATAATAGCTGGAAGTGGATATGAAGACAAGCACTGTAATCAGTTCCAAGCTCTTATGAAGTGGTAACGCACATCGAATGTTGTGCCCTTCAGAATTAGTAGCAAATTATTGCTATACCTATTAATACTGATAAAGATCGATTCTGGAATTGGAATTTATTGAGATGCAAGAACAACCCGATCTTTATAAAAAGGAGCAAATATTAGAAGGTTTCAAGAAAAACAACACTAAAAACAACTAAAAAAATCGAATCGCCTGGTCATGGAAGAATCACGAATCAAGTTAAACGACAATTTTGATTTATGTTTTGGTCGCTATCTTTGGTTAAACTACTTTAGAACAATTAAAAGTTACTACACAAATACGATGAAACGATTTGTGATCAGTTACAATCTAGTGTTATCAAAAAGGTATGTCCAGGAATGGACCAGGATACTCCGCGACAGGTAACGGAAGAAAATATTGAATATTATCGAAATGATATTTCACACTTTTCATTATCAACTGCAATTAGCTATCACTTGGAAAATTATGGAAATAAAATTTTCTAATACTTGCTCATCCTCATGAAGATCAGGCTGTCCTTATACACCAATAAATTCCAATTTCCAGAATGAAACTAATTCTGATATATCAGTATTAATAGGTAGAATAATAATTTGATTCTTATTCTGAAGTCTGAGTGCAATTCATTGATAGTGGTTTTTTTATAACAAAGGATTTGCCATATTTTTCCTTCACGACCTTTCTTATAACATTGTAATTCCCAGGTAAGATATTTCACAGTTTGGTAGAGCCTGTCTTTGAAACAAGACATAAAATAATTCAATTTTTGGATGTCTGGGATATTTTGGAGATTATACTTTAAAACTGCTTTCCATAATTTTAGATTACCACTAAACATCGGTAGTTAGGCAAATTCACTGTTGAGTGATGCACTTCTGCTGGTAAGCAAGTCTCTCTTTCTTTTCATTTTGGTTTAGGATTAGATTACTGGGTCGGAATCCTTCTTGTACTTGGTTAAAGCTATAAAAATTTCTTTACCTTCGTTTATCTTTTGTTCTCGACCATTTATGTGCATTTGTCTTCTTTCTGGAAGTGTAAAGACAAATTTAGTATCTTTCTTACTGCCCTGTTTCCTTGTGAAACAAAGTCATTTTCCTTTCTAGATAGTTCAGATCGTTGATTTCTTTGTCTTCGATACTGGTAGATTCTCAAATCTGTACTGTTTACCTGTACTTCCTGAAATAGTTTATTATTCAAACCTCAAACTTGAGTAATTAAACCACAGATTAACATTAAATATTATACAGCATTACAATAATGAATTGATACATAACACACAAATGTAACTTAATTATAAATCTTTTAAAGATACAAGCAAACTAGACACCTCGCAACCGAGCCCTACCAAACAAGGAACTATAATGAATGGCTTTGCAAGGAAGAAAATTGGGAGGGATTTTATGGGTGTTAAGGTTACAAAGTAGATTAAAATCACTTAAAACAATACTCTTTGTTCACTACATTATAGCTTCGCATTTGTAGCGACAAATACATTCCATCCACTTTGCGACTTCGAGAGTGTGAAAGTACAGCTTGAGGTGCATTAACTCGCCCTAATTCTTTTTCTGGCCTCGTGCTGTTGACGATTTTCTTCTTTGTAAGCACTTTATCTAATGGTGTTAGATTCATCCTTTTGACCTCATTAAGAAATTCTAGTTTCTCTTTTGCCGTTTGTGCACTTTCGACTATAATAGCTGACAATCCCGGCTTGTAACACTAAAATATTTGTAGAGAATTTACTAGTTCAGGAGATTTGGCAGTGTCGGAATTTGATAAGAGTCAATAATCATCTTTAGGAGAAGCTCCTTTATTTCTTGATCTTGGAGTAAATTGTTTCCACATAATTTGACAATATAGTAGTATAACAGTTCATCAATAAAGAATATGATTATTACCGAACCGGGAGAATTATTTGACGCGTTTACATAACGTAGATGTATTCTTGTCAAAATGGGAGTCAACATAAGCCATCTGTTAGGTTTCAAAAATCATCGTATGGTAATCACGTTATTTAATGCAAACGAAAGAGAGGAAGAGACTCATGTGCAATAATCCCAGATGCGGAATGATTTATGAAAATTTAATCATAAACGTCAAACTGTAAACAACTTGCACATTGGATGTTTATTAGAATAATTTGGAGGTTCGCAATATTCTAAATTCGCGGCATATAATGCCAAGTCCGTTGTTCATCAACAACTGAGGTAAAGAACACAACTACTTTGCCGTACGAGTAAACCAAAAAAAAGGCATAATTAGAGCTATTATTTTATTGCATTGCAAACAGCATAGTGACGTTAAAACATGATACATGTAAGATTTTAGTGTTTGAACTAGATAATTTTCTTTTTCTTTAAATTTAGCTTATGTGGATTATTTAGTTAGTTTTAGATTTTATGTAAACAGTAAAAGTGTTTTAATAAAATTAAGGTTCAGAAATTGCTGCTACTACCTATTTTGTAAATATTTTTATAACTTTTTTTGTCGTACATCTCGTATTCTCTACTATTTAATTATAATTATTGTATGCAGATTTTAGAAATAAAATAGTATATAGTATGCCTATTAAATTCTTTGAATTTTTTTTCACTTTTCTTTCCAAAATTATTTTTGAAGTTGCCATTTCTTCTGTTTTCTTTTTTTTTTTTTTCTAAGCTTAAATGCTTAATTATCATATTCATATCGGTATACAGTTGAAACAATGCAATTATAAAAAGAGAAGAAAACTTTTTTGATGAACGGCACCTTGCGCTTTGTTGGTTCCACTACTAACCAGAAAAAAGCAGCTGTTACCAAGAATTATTGCTGATGAGAATATACCAAAACATGGGAAAATAAAGGTTACCGATTATCATTCTGAACAGTTCAGCACTAAAAATCTTCCTAAGAATACCAATCACTAATTTTAAGCTTCCACAGACAGTCATGAAAAATAGTCTTCAAACTAATTTTCTTTCCTTAGCTACGTTTATTAATTAGTGCTCGTATAATTTGCTCCAAGTATTTAACTTACTTTCTTTTGTTTCTCTTTTTGAGTTAGTAGGAAATTATTTCCAGTTCCTCTTAGTAATTGAACTACTAATTAGAAGGTATATATTTATGCAGTTATGATAGCAATGTTTTAACAGTACTCAATTTATATGATAGCTTTGAAATAAATTTTGAAAATAAAAACCTTCAAATAATCTTTAAGCAGATTGGGATGGAAACCATATTTTGCTTCTTAAGTCAGGAGGTATTTTATATTTTATGCTCTTGAAATATTCATGCTATATGAGCTTACAAAAATTGCTTTTGTAGTGATTTGAAATCTTACCAAATTTAAAAAGTTTTCTAATATTAGAAACAAATCACCATTTCACTGTTGCGTTTTTTTCCATATTGGCATTAAAATTGTATATCGACATCTAGAATTATTGATTTGATTAATGTTCTGATTAAAGTTATCGCTATGTCAAATGTCACTACACACTCGTTTATCAGATACAAATTGAAAATGCTTTGACGATTTCGGGCCATTTCATGCAGTTTCATGACAAACTGTTGGTATGGTATAGCCGATACGACTATTTTAGCGGTCTTCTTCGTATTTCTTTTCTTCCAGTCGTCTAATACTTTCAGCTATACATTTTCGGCACACAAATTAATATCAATTACAAGGACGGAATTTTTTCCCAACCTCTATTTTGAATGGCATAACAATTATCTTTTCATCTACTATGCAAAATACGAGTGATTATACATCAAAAATCTCTTAAGAATGTTCGAATTTCTACCTGCTTTATGCTATATCTATATAACATTTTGGAGAATGATAACTTATACTTCTGTTATACTAAGCTAGAATTATTATTTGTTGCTAATTTAATTCTAGAGAATGAAACGTTATACGTATTTTTGCTGTTTTTTGAAGCACTGTAACCCTTTTTTGTACGAATATTCAGAACAAGGCTGGGCAAAACACTGTAAACTATAATACAAAAGCATAATTAGTAAATATATCCTATAATTAGCAGAGATTATTCATGGAATCATTTTATTACCATTCTATTTTGCTTTTCGTATTCTACGAAATACACCATAAGATCGTGAATGTGCATTCAAAATAATGTTAAACAATTCGGGAATTTAGTGGTAGAATATGACGTAATGTTGACGTTGATATTTGCAGTCCATGAATTACGCAAAATCGAAATGTTAAAAAAATTCAGTGTGTGATTTATAAAATTATAGCTTCCCTATAATATATTATCATAAACCGTGAAATTTTTTCTCATTTTTTATTTTTTCATTTATTAATTCTGCAGACTGATATAGATTCAAAATTCTTCATCACTGATTGTAAATACCTACAAGATAAGACAAAACTTCAAATATTTTCTATTTTAAGTATCGAAGTACCTAAATATTCACTTTGCTTAAAGGACTGTATTTCGACATAATTGTATATCCTTGCATATACTGATCACTTGTGTTTATTTTCTTAAAAATTAAATTTGATTTTGTCATTATATTAGTGCTTTTAGCTTATCCGAACGTTAACAACCAAATTATAAGTTTTTATGTCAGTACCTTGGTGAACGAATGTATTTTGTAACTTTAATCTAATTAATTTATATATCCTTATTTTTCCGCTAGATGTAATTTTCTCTATTTCTCGGAAATGGAAATGTTCATGAAGTAATTTAATTCTGAAAGTTTTACAGCTGGTTTTATGAAATAGGTAATTTTCTGAAATTTTATTGTGATCTTTTTATTATTAAACTTTGGAAATAAGCTTATATTAAGCATCCTATGAATTTTTGTTAAGTGCGATTAACTTCATAGGTACTTTTTCATCTGCCATATAATAGCTGCTGTTTAAGAACTCTTCTTATCATTTTCGGTCCTTTCGATGCTACTATTTTTTATCATTTCAAGGAAAATGTGCTGATTGAACAAAAAATTTTCACATTTTCCTGTAAAATTCGATTAGGCTTATGTTCTTGACTCGTTATCTTTATCCTTAAGCTGCTTTTTCTTCCTTTTAATAGAATGCCCAGTTGCTTATTTTCCTATTTCGCTTCGGTTATCATTTTTAAAAATTTCTAAATAACAATTTCATAAAATTCTAATTTCTGCAGGATTTCAGTAATTTATAAGCAGATTTTACTACTTCCAGAATGTGCAAAATTTAATTGCAGTAAAGCTTTTTCATCACACTTTATTCTATGATTTAACTTCTTTTTTCATTTTTATCAAATACTGATAGGAAAACATACTCATGTTCAACTAGAATTTTAAAATTTGGGACGTATTTCTTAGTTTTCATGTTCCATTTATAAATAATTTTAATTAATGTTTCAGAAGTAGCGGTTTTATTGTGGAAGGTGCCTAGGTATCAGATTGGATAGCACATATTAGTTATGACATCATCTTCAAACGTGTTTGGCGAGAAAGCCTCAATTTTCGTTTCTATTATTGCAACGTTTATTGGCTTGTCATTAAGCATTACTGCTATACTGCTACCATCATGGCAGGTACTCATTCAAAACATAAATCGTTTAGATCGAAATATATTTTCTTTGAAACTATTATATTATCACGACAAGTGCTTACTTAAAATTTTCTTTCAGATTTAGGAATCTTTTTGTTTTCATATTTTTAAAATGTGACATTATTATCGTGCCGTTTACTTTATTTTGAACTTAGGTGGTAAATTTGCGGGAATATAATTCGATTCACGAGCATGGTCTGTGGTTGGACTGTAGAAGACATAGTAGAGATAGTAATGCCAACGTACTTCTCAGAAGGTTTTATTTTAAGTCTTTTATCATCTTTTTCTCAAGGAAAAAATTCAAGTCAAGCTTAGTTTAACTTACTCGTAATAACATAATTCTTGAAAATTTATTTTTTTTAAGTTTTTTTTTTTTTTTTATAAAACTTAAAAATTTCTTGCGATTCATTGTCTTTTATAGTTATTTTGTAATTGATATTGTTTATAATTGATGTTAGGTTGAATGACATTTTGATGATGAAGGAAAATTACTGAGTGGCCATCATTTTTAGGTACACAACAAATACGGAACCTTTGAACTGTGTTTATAAATTTGACTACGACAAATATTCAGGCACTTTTGATTTGGAAGATGATAATAGTCCTGTTGGAGAAGTAAACAGGCACAAGTTTTATGGTTCGCTCGTCTTTATGTTCTTTGCCATTATCTGGCTAATTATAACAATCTCAAAAGAAAACTGGAAATTTTCAGCACTTGCTCAAAAGCTCATGCAAATGCAGAAACTAAAGTTTGGACTGAGTCAAAAAAATTTTTAAATAACTTCTTTGATAACCTTAATCAAAAAGTGATAAATTCAGAAGAACTTAAAATTAAAGCATAATATGATATTGTGTGGTTTTGAGTGCTTCTGTTGAGCATTTAAGAAACTTTGAAAATTAGTATTGTTAAGCTTAAGTGCAAAAGGTTAGGAGTTAAACTTTCTTTGTTTTCTTACTATAAATGATTATTTGTTACAGGTTGGCATACAGCAACTTTAATTTTATTAGCGCTGGCACTGTTGACGTCGTTCTTATCTGTATGTCTAGGTTTGTCTGCGTGTTGTTACAGTTCACTGGCGCTGATCGTCACGGGTGTAACTCTAATGACAAGTTATTTTTACATTATTTATACTTCTTTTGCAGTAGACTTTTTCAGTGGAATGACATTTTAAGATCTAATTTTGTTGGTAAGCAATTTTTCGTTCAATGAAGAAAAATATTTCTTTCAGCATTTTTGTCTGTAATAGCTGAAGGACTATTCTTTTTCTATTCACATCGTGCCGATGTTCGCTTTATCAAGGGTATTGTCAGTACATACGAGGTTTTAAAACACTTTTCATATAATAATTTCATTATAAGTCTGGTAATTTTTATTTCTGCTATTATTCCAGGCTACCTTAAGCAATGTCCTATATTTGGTGAGCTGGTCATTGACGTTGATATGGCTTTGGATATAACAGAGATGATATCAGTATAAACAGGATTATTTTCAGCAGCGAGTTGGCTTGGCATTTTTTCTGCAGATGGCCGCATGTGCATGTCATTTTCTTGCATTTCTCGTTTCACTGGTATTTATATATTTTGCATGGACTGGTAAAAGCGATGCTAGTGATCGATATAGTTTTAATCGAGGCTCAAAGTTAAATGTAGCAAGTATGGGAAGGTCTGCATCTGAAAACATTTCTCACACTGTTTTTTGAGCACAAAGTCATTTCTTTTAGGTATCGTTTATGGTATAGCACAAATATTTTCCTGTGAATTGTCTGTTAAACTTTTCCATTTTCAGATCTGAAAGGCAAGGAAATGTTTCATTCATTAAAAAGTTCGAAAGCAAAACTACACAGCTTTTTGATGAAAAGACCTTTACGAATTATTTTTTAGAAAACAATTGTCGCAGTTCGAAGTATTACTTGTTTACAGATCGTTGGAATTTGAACCACAAATGATATATCAGCAAAATGTGGCACCCACTGGAATTCGCCCACCTCATTATATGAAACATCAAGAACAGTACGACAAAAATATCGCTGGAAGTACTCCTGAGTTAGGGACAAGACAGTTATCTGCCGAATTCTTTGGACAAAAAGTAAGACGAAAAAGTGAAACCTGTGTTTAACTTTTAACTAGCTTTTTTATAAAACTCAGAATGTTTTATGCGTAAATTGATTTGCTGGAAATATAATTTATTTAACTGAATATGAAGTCTCTGCTAATTTCAACCCTAAATTCCGACTTTGCAGTTTCAGTAATTTGATCAAAGTAATCCATCTAAGAAGCTAAGAAAGGTAGAAAAATATTTGTGGTGATTACTTTTCTCCACTTATTTTTCCTTAAAAATTCTTTGCTTTGTATTCTTGTTTAGATTACTCAATAGATTTTAAAGAGGGCATGAACCAACCACTTTTTATGTGCTTCAGTTTTGTAAATCTTCAGCAAATTCATAAATTTCCATTGTATTTTAGCACCTGTTCTCCAGATTAAACATGCGATTTTGTTGTACTGATTTCATAGACCAGCGCTTCTAGGCTAAACTTTATAAATCTGTCACTAATTTTACCTATAGTATTTAAAAGTTTGTTTAAATGAATGATTACAACTTTAAATATTAACAATACAGTTCATTCTCACAAATGCCCAAGTTCTATTTTTTTTTTTCTTGTAAAAAATTTTCAGCGAAATTGAGTGAATTTTGCAATCCACACTTTTTTAACCAGTCTGTATTTTCTTCTTTTCTTCTAGCTCATTTTTCAAGTGTCTTGAATTTTATTTGGAAAGCTATTGACAAGAGCCTCCCAATCTGCTGAAGTTCCCCAGGGGTCGCTTTTAATGGATTTATCAAAATGAAATGCAAAAATTTTTTTAATTATGTATCAGAACACAATTTGTATGATAAATTTACATTACCTCGTTTTTCGTAAATTCTTATGATTGTTTCATGATGGCTTTATATATCTTTTAACATCTCTATATTTCCACTTGCAATCACATCATTTATTCAACTTTTCTGCTTTTATTTTTCACATTTTTTATATTATTATTAATTTGACCAGCAGTTATTTCATTCTTCTTTAACTCAGCAGTTTTACTTTGTTAACTTTTGTTTTTGACGTCCTTGAAAAAGTTATGATGATTTCCAAAAAAGATCATGAAAGTCTGTGAATTTACTTTTTTGACTAAAGTTCAAGAAGCCAGTCGCTATTTTCAAAGTAAATTGTTTTAATGTCTATCATATTATAATTGATTCTATTGGCCCAATGAATGAAGAGATCAGAATTCATGAGTAATTTCGTTGAAGGAATACTAATTCCGCTGATTTTGAATAACTATACAAAAATATTTGTCTAATTTTGATCCATTTTTTAGTAAGTAAAATTGGCAGCTTCTCACACTATTTCCAGTTTTTTTTTTCTTTAATTTTAATGGCCAACACCACAAGATTATTGAAGTACATCAAATGTGTGATTATAATGATAATAAATATATTGAATAACTCAGTGTGCTACTGAACATTAATTATATTTTTAAATAGATTTCAGTGCCTTATATGGTTCACTTGTGATGTCTCCTTAGTGACTAATTTTGTGAAAAAGTAACTTGAGATTGATTTGTACCCTGCTTTTAAAGCTTTCAATAAAAGTTCATATCAAATTTGGTACAGTGCGCAATGTTTGAAAGGAATACACACGTCAGTGTTGCGTTTACCGGAAATAATATTACTGACTGACTGGTATTCGCTTTTAATTAGTCAAACTTATTGCAGCCGTTTGTTTTTCAGAAAATAATAGTACGAACTCGTGGTCGAAATAAATGATAATGGAAGTGGCTAGTAATATTAGTGATAGAAAAACTTGAAATATCGGAAAATCTCATGACTTCAGATTGGATTTCCCAAGCACTTCATAGGTTCGCTGATAAACTCAGAGTAAATATGTTTGACTGTGTATGGTTTGAGTAATTAGTTCTTAGTGTCACTTTTATTAATACCTTTTGATCCTCTAATCCAATTCTTCTGGTTAATTTTTTGAAGGTTATTAAAATTCTCCACCAAAACCAATTCCGCTTGATATAACCCAGTATACCTACTGTTGGGTATCATATTACATTTCAGTAAGCAGTACTATGCTTCCCAAAAAATCTATTTTGTTTACCGTGATTAGATGGTTTCTCAGGAGCGTTTTTCACTTTTGAGAAAAAATACAGCACGAGCCGATGAATCACTGAATTCATCGCTTTCAATATATGGATAACATCTAACTTCCCATGAGCATGAAATTTTGAAAAACGTCCAAATGATGACTGAGGATCTACGACAGGATGACCTTCACCATCAACATGATTGAAACCAGTTTGCGAAACCACTAGGCGGAGGCACGATCACCACCCATATTTGGCCTTTCTTTTCAAGGGCAGACATATGTCATCCAGTACTGTACTACCCTTGTACCTTCATTTATTTCTTTGTTTTATGTTATGCATGGAATTCTTATAGTTTGCCTACTAGTTTTATAAAATTTTAAAACCGATCCTTCCAAGGACACTGATCGTTTTAGTCGTTGAGATGAATGAGAATTGCTGAAAGATCTCATGATCTTTTTTTCGCTGAAATCCTCGCTGTTCCCTATCATGTTTCAATCTCTGTGCAAAGAGTTTATGACCAAACATTGGACACAAGCACACACATAAATAGGTGCATACATATAAAGCTGGACGTAGGTCACACCTACACAGTGAACCGAGCGATCGATTTCAGATGCGATAACTAAGAACCATAATGTATGAATTATTTCCCACTGAAAGTATAGATGGCAGTGGTCACTATGATTATTACCGATTCGTTGTTCGTTGTGGAAATAGTATCTTAATTAAACTTTCGTTATTTCCCCATTACGAATCAATTTCCTTCTGTTTTCTTAGAACATTTTTTGAAATAATCAGTTCAATTTCTGTTCTGTGAAACGAAAATATTGTGACTTATATCATAATGTTCGTTTTTGAGCACATTTGTTTTAAGCCTTTCTAAATTCCTTTTAAATTATGATCTATTTACTGAGTTAAAGGCCATTTATTTTTACATGACTTTGTGAGTTAAATTTCATTGTACTAATAATTTATTAATTGCTTGAAACAAACATCACCTATACTGTATAAATGAATCATAATGTTCGTTTTTTTTAAATATAAATGAATGAGGGATATAAAAGTAGGGATTATTTCTGAGACCATTTCCGTTGCAGGTATCATATTTTGTAATAATTTAGATCATTATTGCAATAGAAGATTCTATTTCCTAGTAAAGTTGCTACTTGAACTTTTTAGTTTTGTTGGTGACAAAAAATTGATGGTTGGTACCTGGGTAGTTGTTTAAATTGAAGTGGCAACATCTGTTGTTGTAAATAATTCTTCAGGGATAAAATCAAAATGTTTGGTGTTTAGAAAAGGTAACGCCAGATGACTCATCGCCGAAATAATTCCAAAGTTTTGCCATCTTATTTCAGTAAGTTTCGGAAATCAAGCATAGTTGCCATACAGCTATCATTAATTACTTCAGTTTTGTATCCACCTTTCTCTTTCCTTTTCACCTTCTTTATTAAATCAATTTTTGATGAAATGGGTGCAATTCGTCAATGATAACAATAAATGCTGCTACTGGTTTCAGTCTTAATCATTCGTTTCGTTTATACTTTTTAAAGTGTTTTAAATCCATTACTTGACTTCTTTTTTCTTTTTCTAATGCTCGTTATTATAGCCGCAACGATTTGAAACAACATAGGCAAGATTCTCAAATTTGAAGACCTAAATTTTCTTTGCTACTACAGCATTCCATAGCATTCTATAAACTTATGCCTTTTCGATTTTCAATACCATTTCAAATAATCGGGAGAAACAGTTTTATCACCTACACCTTATACATATTCCTCACACTTAGGGTAATTATCAGCTATAGCTTGTTTAGATACAAAAAAAGATGGAAGCGATGAGCTAGCAAAAATTCAAACTGTCAATGAGTGCTACTGAAGAAAGTCAAAATAAGTGTAGCCAGAAAACAGCCTTATCGTTATTTTTCTTACTTGAATTGATTGCTCATGTTTTGGGCTGTGTTGCTCTAATAAGCCCAAGCTGGCAGTACGTATATCTTGAAGTAAGTGTCAAAATGCGATTTTTTTTTTTTTCAAGTTTCCGTAACATTACAATTCGATTTAGATTCAATCATATTTCAGCAAACTTCTAATTCATATTAGATTTTTTCTTTCATTTGCTACCTTTCCCTCTTGTTTATGCTTAGTATTAAATAAACTTGTATTACTAATATTTAAGTCAGATATTGTAGAATGGACGTACAGAGCACCACCATGGATTGTGGCTTGATTGTAAACGCGATTATTCTCATGATTATGGCCGAAGCCGTGAGTATTACGAAACTTTGTATAGGTTCGTATAATACTGTTCTGTTTAAGATGGGATCACATTTATGAAGGACTGGAAGATTAGGAAGGGAATAAATTAGCCCCTTTTATACGACCGAAATCTAGCACCATTTTTACCCTACTCGGTTTCAATTCATTTTGATCTATATCGAAATTATAGGCTTAATAAACAACAGTCACCATTTGATCAGTTTTTTCTCACATCATTACTATGTGTTTACAAATTCGATTATTATATTGATATGGAGGATCTGTATGATCATAATCATGACGAGAATCGCCTCCAAGATGACGCTAACCAACATTTACTATTGGGTTTGTTAATTACATGTCCTTTTCCTTTTCTTTAATTTATATAAAGTCTCATTTTGTTTCAGGTTGGAAAATAGTGTCATTAGCTGCTCTTGGATTTGCGACATTAGCAGCAAGTGCAGCATTATTGCTTTCAGTTTGCGCTTTTTGTCATCGTACTCTTATTTGCGCTGCAGCTGTTCTTGTCACTGTTGCTGGTCGGCATATCTTTAGAATTTACTTTAAGACTCAAGTCTTTTCTAAATTTTAAAAGCACGGTTATCATTGAATTCACACAAGAAGTACGATTTTCAATTACAGTAATAACAAAGCGCGAATGATAAGTTGGACTTTGGATTAAAAAAAAAGACTTTATTTTTGCTTCTGAGTAATAATTCAATCTTACAGCTTTGCTCTCTTCCATGGGCTTATTAATATTTTACATCTGGGCCAACCATCAGGACAACAATATTATTAAAGAAGAAGATGGCATATATGAGGTTAATTATGAATTGGTCATTTTTCAGTTGATAGCTGCAGAAAAGGAAAACAATAGATACTGATTTTTATTGGCCAGAATGTTGCGTCGATGTTGGAATAGACCGACCAACACTGTAAGATAAAGAATGACGTCGTTGAAGTGGCAAATCAGCTTGAAATTCAGTAGTCCGTAATGTATATTTTGACGCGTACTTTAAAAGGACGCCTTTAGATAATGATTATATTTGGTCTAGCCTTACTTCCATAAACCAAATCTTTGTAGTTAATTGGTATTTGAAACATTTATAAAAATCGGTTCAATAAAAATTGGCTTAAGGAATGGACTGACAGTCAATACGTGAAAAGCATGATGGTGATGCTATTTATTGATACTCACTAAGTAATGAGTACAATCACCAGTGGTTGATTTGAACCATTTAATGATGTAAATTTCTTTCCCCAACAGAATGGATTCTTAAATTCTAAATTCAGTACTGTTGAATCTTCATTCTGAAAATGGTTATATGTTATTAGGAAGGCATTTGCGATGATATGTAAAATCATGTCAACGTGTCCGTTTGTTGACTTTGAAGAGGACGCAGAAGGACGTTCTATTTTAGAGATTTACTTATTTCTGTAAAAATATTTAAGGAATATTAAATTCAGAGGTTTGGAATCGAAAAGGACATTTTGTCTTAGGATAGTGTAGTGATCAGATTATTTTCAGCAGAATACGTTCTTTTATGTGTAACTTGTGCTTTAGCTGTCTTATAACAACTGCGAAATGGAGAATTTTAGTTGTCTTTGTAAGATGCACGACAGTTACATTTTCTCATTTTTAGCAGTATTTTGGATGGGCGCTGTATATGCAAATAGCAGGGACGACGACGCAGTTTTTTGCATCTTTCTTAGGTTGCGCTGTTACCTCAATGGCATTCAGAAAAAGTCGGGCCAAATTGGTCAAGATCGAGGTTTCTCATCCTAATTTATACTCACTTATTATTTAACTCAGTGCTGCATTCTTCGAGTGAATCTCTAGATTTCAGGTGATTGATAGAGACAATTCAACCTTGCTTGATCGAACAGTTTCACTCCCATTCAAGCGTTCATTTTCAGCAATTTACAAATTGGACTCAGCTGACCTCCAGAAGTGGGAAAGGGATTACATAAATATCATCCAATCAGATAGCATCACCAAACGGGTAAGTTTTTAAAGAATATTAGAAAAATCTATAATGCATATTCTAGCTTAGACAATTAACGAACATTCGTGATTTTTCCTTATCACCACCCATATTTTCAATTTTTTGCTTTTATTGTGTCTGAGACGTAACTATACATCAAGCACGATCATATATAGCAGGCCATCATTTATGGTTAGTCTCCGCTTACTAATTGGTATTGAGAAACAGCTGTGTTAGTTGTTCTATCGGTTGTTATCAATACTTGCATTTTATGAGTTTTTTTATCTCGGACAAATAGGATTTGCAATTTCAAGAGTTCTATATCGGCACCAGATTTCAAGAAGTACCCGAGGAAGAACAAACAGAATCCACAGGAAAGCAAAATCACAAAATCCACTTCTAATTTATTCGACCAACCAAACTTAAACACTGCTTTCGAAACATTTCCACAATCATTTTCATTTCCAGTTCCAAAGGTTACGTTTCTCATAAATTTGCACATGATAATTGCCTCATTTGGGGTAGAGAGCCTCATTTTATAGAAAAAGTGATCCCAGTTTTCACGCAATAGAATATTTGATTTTCGGCAATGCAGTACAACTTCCTCTTCAACAAATACTGTAAAGATTTGTCTTGATGAATTAAGAACTTTTACTGCATGCTCGTTTCTGCAAGAGTATGTGTGCATGTGTGCTACATATTGTGTTTGAGGTCTAAGAAGCAAACATTAATATTTAAATTATTTTCTATATCACACGGTCCTTTTTCATTTTGGAATTCTTCACTGACTGCACAACTTCTTGTGTGAAAGTCAGTTTTTGATTACAGTCAATTTTAAAAGTCACGTCAAAGCAACCTTCAACGGTGATGGATGCAAATCGACGATTAAGCGATGATCTTGATCTGACTTACGAATACTTGCCAGACGACCTCGTAGGAAATTCACGAAGTACAGAAACGTTAAACAGATCGTTCACAACAAATTTTACTGACATCAGCTTATTCGGTCACAGCAAGTATGTCACGAATATCTATCGCTTTTTATGATTCATTTGACGCCTTTCTCATCTTTCTAATGCACAAAAATTCAGACCAAATCGTAGTTTCATTTTCAGGTTTTTTACACTTCAACTGTTTTTTAAAATGGACAAAGCAAAAGAAGTATTTTCTTTTTGCAGAGATATTTGTAACCAACGCAGCCACTCACGAAGTCCAGTCAATGTCTATGATAAAGTTTACGAGTATATCCCAGATATAGCTAAATCACGTAATCATGAACAGGCAAACAGTTGTTTTAAGAATATCGCCATTTCTGCTGACAAAATTTTAATTCGTTCCGGTTTGATTTTTATCATTTTCAACAAGTATCCAACTCCTTCTAAGGTGATTTAATTGAGGGTATCCAATTCCTTCTAAGGTGATTTAAATAGGAGTAGATAAAAGAAAATAATTCAAAACGTTTTGCATAATCTGCTGTCTGATTTCTACTAAATAATTCTGTAATTGCATGGGTTTAAGGACAAGAACAGACAACTGATGAAGACCTTAGAACACTTATCAACGATGTGTCTTCCTGTTCGAACACTACAGCCACTAAGTTCACTTTTTTTCATTTTTTTTTCATGTAAAAAGGAACCTAAAAAAAAAATTTTTTTTTTGATCATGACAATTTTAACAGTTTTTTTCATTTAGATCAGCTTTCACGAATTTGGTTCCTGAAACAATCACTGTACCGACAAATCGGTGTACATCTGGTGATATGCTTTCAGTCCTACCAAATGATGTATTTATTGGTTTTGTATTTTAAATTCATAGATTTTTTTTATGATGTTTGTTTTAGAGATTTCTTCATTCACGTGAGTCGTTCCACTTAATCCTAATCTTAGTTGGTTCCACGATGTGACATTGATGAAATAATATTGCAGCCAAGAACAAGGATATCCAATTTGCAAAATTTTCTGGTAGAACGAAACGCATATCTTCATTTTCCAAATGGGCACTCACTGAATCATGTTTCTGATGGTATTGCGATCAATACATTCGATTTTAGAACACTTATGGGAAGAGAAGGAGAAAGGTATTTGAAAAACCGGATTGAAGTGCTTTGAAATTTCAACATGGGTGATGATGGAAGAATTGGGATTTAAGAACCTGCTAGAAAATCGCTATAATGAAAATTCTATAAATACCATACACAGGGATTATGTCGGATATTACAGATCCATCAAGAATTTGGTTTTTCGACCACAGAAAGATGAAAGTATTGAGGCTTTCGAGCGTGCTGATAATTCATCAGAACACAGTTCACTAAACAAATGCATGCCGAATAAGAGTAAAACACTGGATCCGATAACAAAAATTATCTTACCAGAAAACAATGACATACAAATGACATGCAGTGTTATTCCCACCCCATATATGTTAGTTTCCTACCTTATTTATTTCTTCAGTTATTTAGTATGTGTCGATGTTGTTATCAGAAGGTCATCGCACTTCAAAAATAGTTGCAAGACCCATTCTTTGTTTTAAATCACTCTTTTATTTGGACCGTCACTTCCGTAATTTATATGTAATTTCTTATGCAGTCTAGTTGAAACTACTGGATGACATTTGCCGTTGTCGATTATCACTGGACCAAACAAAGTTTTATATTCTAAACTTTCTTTCATGATTCACTGGACAAAGAATTCTTTTGTTTGGTGATGATATGACGCGTTTAGCATTTTTGCCTTCCTGTTAGTCCATCACAGTGGATTTTTTTCGTCAATAATTATCATTTAAGAAATCATTCATTCAAACAACAATGAACAAAGTACCTTTCATGAAAGTGGTGCATAATGACGAAGTGTATTGCCTAAACTAGTTGGTTGAATACCTTTCTTTTTTCATGCAGACATTTCAGATGCTTTATTTGCTAGTGTTTTAGGTGCTCAGCAGATGAAATGGATCGTTCCATAGGTTCATTAGATACATTTAACAGTAACGCGGCTATAAAAAACAACGACCAGCAGTTTGAAGCAAAACTGTGTTTGAATTTGTTCATGAATGGTGGAGTAGCGTCGCTTCTTACTGGAAACAATTCTGATAATGACTCCGCTGAAGCAAAAAAGAGCAATATCACTACCGTCTAGTAATTTATTAGTGAATTCCTGGCATCATCAGGATGGATAAAATATGCCGAATAATAATGCACTGCAGTCATCTCTTTTATACATAGATTACTTGAGAAATCTTCATTTGTTCCGAAAAAAGTGCCTACTTTTTTCAAAAATTTTTACCTCTATATATTACTTCTATTGTTACTTTAGTTATGCTTTTATTGTTGACAAAGATGATGATTCCAGTTAAAATTTTTTTTTATTCTTTGCTATTCCATCGGTAATATGGTTTTGTTCTAAAAAAAAAAAATAATAAAATGTATGTTACGAGTTGTTGCTCGTGTTTTGCGTAACACTTTGTTTGTGGAAATGTAATTCTTGAGAGTGAAAATTTGATGATCTTAAGGGAAATTCGAGAAGTGGCTAATCCATCATAGCTAAGGGACTTATTAAACAAGGATTCATTATTGACTAGTGGAGAATTGGGAAATTATATTACTGAGGGGTGGATTTCAAGAAATTTCAATCTTATTTCATAGTAAAGGTAAGCAAGTGAAAAGGACAGAATAACAATGCGTTGTTGTTTCCATGGTGACACTGAGGCTAATGAGAAATGGAAAACGTAGGATGGGATAGTACCGAAGAAGTGAATGGCTGAAGTGCATATTATCGGAGAGATTGAATATGCATCTGGGTTCCCAGAACAACGTCTTTTTTGTCGCTGGGAGCTCGGATTTGGTGAGTTATTCGTGTTTCTAGTTAGATGAATCTGTGAACAGTCTCACTTTTTAAAGTAAGAAGATTTTAAAAAATGAAAAGTGGTTCCCAACAAACTACTTTTTATCCTCGAAATTTCCATTAATTTTTTGTTGTTATTTCGTGAACTATTTCATCATGAAGGTCATACATAGCTAAAAGTGCTGTACTGTTTAAAATCACTTTAAGGTGGTGGATGGCGTGTAATACAAGGAGTAAGCAAAGGACAAACTCAGATCGACTTATCCGAATATGAAGATTTTGCATATTTTTCACATCCGTTGGATATACATCTTATAACTAAAACCATACAAGGTCAGCATAACTTCATAAAATGGAAATTATTTTGAAAAGAACCTTGATACTTGAACTCTTACATCTCTGAGCTGTCAAATTTAAATTACCGGCATTTGCAGTCTTCTGTAGCCGAAAATTGTGGATTGGTCGTAGACGGAAAATCTCAAAACAGCAACTATGGAAGAAAGTAAAGAATTTACTCAAAACATTCCTATATTTAGGATGGCCTTCAATTAGTTTACAAATCTGGCATTACGATGAATTTGGTCGGCAGGAACTGTATGGCTACGGGTCCATATATTTACCAGCTTCACCCGGTGAACATCAGGTAATTGGTTTGCGTTGTCAATATAAAAACTGACTATTGTTTATAGTGACTGGTTGAACCATTTGCAAACAGAAATTTCATTTTTTCGTGATCGGTTTACAGCTAAGTTATTGATTTGATTAATTTACTAGTTTCCATTAATTACAGATGAAATGTTATACATGGAGACCGAAAGGTAGTTTACGTGAAGAAATGATGCAGTACTTTGTTGGAGGTGGTTTACAATTAAGCAATGAAAATTCGACACGACTCGATGAATACTCAAGATTGCGCACTGTATCAATGGGTGTCGTTAAACTGCGTATTTCAGTGATAACCAAAAATTTTGATCGTTTCGGAATCCAGTGCTAATAACTTTAGCCTCTGCTTAACCATTCTTTGTGTCTCGTTAAATGTGAACGTCATTTGTAATATATTATGAGCGCTTCGTTAGTGAGCGTATTTTATCTTGACAGAATGTCTCCATTAAGAAACTTGTTTAGTGTTCCTATCTATTTCATTCATTTCCTACCAAATATATCATCCAGCAGTGCGTAGTGATTCCTCACTGTTATAATATTTTCTGATCACATTTTATAATGTCATGACGATGGTCACTATCAATAAGCCGGAAGAGGTACATGTATTCCGCATCTTCTCTGACCTACAGTTGACTTGTAATACGTTACTTTCTCACACGCTGTCTATCTTAAATTTGTAAAATTTCTAGTTTTTGTAATAACTTTTTGTAATAATTTTTTTTTTACTTTCGAATGCATTACTTTCAAATGTATCAATTAAATGGTAGCGTACAGGAGATAATAGAGCCACTTTCCATAAAAACTATTTAGCATTTCCAGGTGTTTCTTAGACGACTAGCCAATCTGTACAGTCAGATCTTGTCAGCTATGCCCCAAAAAGTAAGATTTATTGTCAATGCTGCTTGACTATAACAGCTCTAAGACTTCTGAAAGCGCTCTGGGACGTATGCTGAGGGAAAAAGGAAGTTTTATGATCTATTTCAAGATGTAACACGTAAAAATCAAAACCATTAGAATCATCAAACATGAACGGATGAATCTTTTGCAAAGGATTCAAGTTCGTTTCGCTGTATTCAAATTAGACTGTTTATTACTATTAATAGAAAAAGAAGTAGAAAAGTACATTCGACTTACATTAATGTTTGTTGGAAAACTCAAAACTTAGAAAAGTTAGCAGAAGCAGGAGAACAAGTTTTGAGACAGTGAGAAGAAGAGCGTATTATAAAGTGATCAATGATAGCAAACAATTTAAAAGATCAAAATAAGTACGGCAGTGTGAAGCTGTCATATGATATTCTAATCAACGCTGTCAAAGAATTTGTTGGTTACATCTACAGTACTTTTTTCTTTTACTTAAATAACATAACACCACAAGTACGACGTTTTTATTGCACTGACTGTGCAAGCCTTATTCGTATCCAAATGCAGTTGTGTTTACATTAACTGGCTCAGGAAAAGTTTCAATTCCATACCATTTATCTGAAAGCATATTCCAGTGATCCTACTGAAGAAATGGAAGACTTTATATCACTTCTATTACTTGATCCTTTTAGTGCCTTTTCATCAGACTATTTTTTTTCCCATATTCTGTCAGACAAAGTACACATAGCACAGCACATGCCTATCAGTGTACTAATCAGTATTTTGCTCTAGATTATTTGGAATATATCAGGAAAAGGGTGGTGTTCCTTCTGTGTTGTTTTCGTTTCTTCCATCTTTGGATCACTAGCGTAGTAGACCGCAGACGTCGGTTATCAAGAAGAATGTGTGGAATGTAGAAGATCGAATTCTGGGAAGTACGGGATACCATACAGAAAGCAAATTTCGTTTTCTTTTTGAACCTTTAAAAATTTGAACTCTGTTTTAATTGATCAGTTTTGCATTTGAAAACCAACAATATAAAAAAGCTTTCTTTAGTAATCAATAATTTAGAGCTAAGATAATTCTGCACAGTATCACCAATTATATTCCGCTCCACCTCTATTCTGCAAACCATCAAAGCTGTTTTCGTAATCTTACGGACATTTTTCCCGAAAACCACTCAATAGTCCTCCAGTTATTTCTCAAATCACATGATCTACAGCAGTTTGTACGCTGACTAGTGATAACCCGACTCAACTCTGCTCAACTGAACCCGAACCCATGAGTGTTGCAACTGCTAAATGCTAAATAGAATACATGTGGGAGCTAAAGAAACAAGTGCGTCATGGAGAGGCAACACGAAAATAGCACAAGGAATATGAGAAACAAACTGTGTAATAATCTGCACGAGAGCACATCTCTCACATAGCGAGGAGTGGCGGCGACTCAGCAACCGAAGTGGACAAGCAATTGAAACGGCAGAATGGACGGTGTCGAGTTGTCTGACAACTCCCGCTTTCTCTGTGTTGGCACGACTTGCGAATAATATTGGGGGAATGGGACTGGGGTACTGGGACTGGTGTATGGCGTGCTGCTTTGCGGGACTTTTTTGAAACGTGTTTGCTTTCCATATGTACCATTTCCATTTGTTGATGTGGATCAGGAAAAGAAGCGATACCAGTTTTAGGAATCAGTGTCAGCATTTTCAGCGCTACTTTCGTGCCATACATTTATTTTTGTGGTCTTTATTCCTCAGACGAAATTTGCTTCTAAACTTTTGAACAGTAATATTTTTAAGTCTTTTAAGAACTGTTGAAAGTAGTATCGAAATTGTGAAATTAGTTAGGGTCGATGACTTTTCGTGATGGTAATAATCGTAATTCCATGACTTCATTTGTTTTTGTTATTCCAACAAGACTTTTTCATAATTTGGATAAGTAGGAATAATTTTCAGGTAACATAAATCTTCATGTATAAAGTGATAATAAGGAGTTATTGGTTATCGCTGGTAATTTTATCTTTACCAGCTGCGTTAACGAATGTCATTTGGTTGGATATAGATAATCACGATGGTATCATCAAAAGTGCTCAGGTACAAAAATTTTCAATTTCTTTGGGGATTTTTGCATGGTAAAGATTTTAATCATTTTTAAAAGCTGTAGGGACTAGTCAGCTAGCGAGAAAAAATGCTTGATTTCTTAAACGATTTCGTTTGGGAATGTTACAATGTATTACTAATGTACGTTCTGTTCTGCATCTATTGGGTTATCTAAAATGAATTCGGAAATGAAGATATTCAAAGATATATTTAACCCATAACGAGTCTGACTAACACAAGTTACACGACTCTTACTTTTAACCAACTTTTGGAATTGTTTGTCCTCATGGCATATTTAGTTTAATACTGCTGTGTTTTGATCTTTTCTGTATTCTTTTCCTACTGATTGAGTAGGAACAATATTGCTTAAGATAATTATTAGCTGTATTCCATTCTTATACGGATATTTCATTTAAAATTGCTGTGAATAGTATGCCGATGATTATAAATACGGATATTCGTCACTATGGGGATTTATAATATAAAAAATTATGTTTTTTGAGTAAAATTATATAAGAAAATAAGTAAATCAGATTATTTTTTAAACTGCTTGTGTTTGATTAATACAATTATTACTGGTAATTAATGTGTTTTGACATGTTTTAGGTTGTGTTTGTTGCGTTTTGTGCTGATTGGTGCCCATTTAGTCGTCGACTTAAACCAATTTTTGAAGAAGCTGCTGCTGTTTTTGCACAAGAAAACCCTACAGCAAATGTCATCTGGGCTCTTGTAGATAGTGTCGAACAAGTGAAGTTTCTCTTTGAAGTCAACTGATGAGTTCTTTTATGTGTGATAGAGATGTCCACCTTTTTTGCTAAGTTTAAGCTGTTTATAGGCGAAAATTGCTGATAAATATTCTGTCAATAAATATCCAACGATGAAGGTTTTTATTAATGGAGAATTAGCAAACAAAGAGTACAGGTATTTCCATTGCATTACTTAGTTCTATTTACATATTTACGGACTGTGGTTTCGATATAAAAAAATCCGTTCTGTTTAACTGCAGATCTACGCGCTCAGTTGAAGCGCTTACAGCGTTTGTTAAACAACAACTCTCATCCAGTATACAAGATTTTGCTGGTGAGAAAGACCTAGAACGGCAAATGGACAAATCCAAGAGAAATGTGGTTGCTTATTTTGCAGACAAAAATAGCAATGAATATCGAAGTTTCCAGGTTGCTTTTTTACTAACTACGAGTTGCTTTAAATCAGTTTTCAAGCAGTTTTATGGATTTATTTTGTCGTTTTTAGAAGGTTGCTACTATTTTACGCGAGGATTGTACATTTTGGGTTAGCAATGATGAAAACTTGAAAGCTGTGAATGAAACTATGATGCATTTTCGAGATCCGGATACTGAAGATGAACAAAAGGTTAACAAATTTTGATGTTTGATTTCGGCGCTATTTGGTGATAAACGGGAGAAATTTTTGAGAATTTGAATTATAAAGCTATATGAATATATTATAAATTCTACGAACAGTACGAATTCAGAAATTCTATGTAGAATAAAAAAAAAAAATGCACTGAAAATTTGTTGCAGTTCACGGGCAATTTTACGGACTACAATTATGTAAAGCAATGGCTTACAGATAAGTGTATACCACTCGTGCGAGAGGTCACATTTGAAAATGTTGAAGAGCTGACGGAAGAAGGTCTACCATTCTTGCTTTTCTTCCGAAATCCTGGAGACAAAAAAGGCGACAAAAAGTTCACTGAATTGGTAAATTGTATCCCATGATATTTTTTTTGGTAAGTGGAGAGTTTCAGATCCTCAGAATATTATAAGTTTAAGCAAGCATTAGCTTATCCAAGTCCGTCGTTTTGAAGTTGCTCGTTAAACATTTTCCATTATAGGTAGTGCGTGAACTTTATGATCAAAAAAATGCAGTCAATGCTTTGCTGGCAGATGGTCATAAATTTGCTCATCCGTTAAAACATTTAGGAAAAACTGAAGATGATTTGCCGGTTTTAGCTATTGATTCCTTTCAACATATGTTTTTGTTTGATAATATGGATGAATTGTACGTTCCTGGGAAGCTTCGCCAAGTATGTTTTATTTATATCCGTTGGGATTATAAAATATTTTAGATGCTATTCATAATAACGCTTTCCGTGAAACTGTGGTTAATACTTCTTGTTTTTAATCTTTCATTTTTATAATTTCTTCATTTTACATATTCCCTAACTCCTAGCGATTAAGTATATTATGCTTGGAACCAAATTAAAAGTTTGTATTTTAGTTTGTTCTCGACTTGCATTCTGGAAAATTGCACAAAGAGTTTCATGAAAAAATGGATCAGGAAATGATAGATTTGCAGAAACTGGAATTGAAAAAACTTGAAAAATTTGCTGAAAATGAAGCAAAACCATCGACGGCAGTATCATTTGCAACGCCTCCTCCTTCTATTTTTAAGGAGTTGAAACCCTCAGAAAATCGTTATTCTTTACTAAGAAAAACTGAACTATAGTTCACATAACTCTAATTTTACCGCAACTACCTTTAAAATGCAGAGGAAATGACAATTCCCTCGAAGCTTTTTGCCATTTGCTATTTGCTGTTATATTTAAAATTTCAGGGTGTTTTTTTAAAAGTGCCTTTTGAAATAGTTGAATTGTCCGACCAGTTAAAATATTATTGTGTATCATTATGCTTTGTAATTAGTCATATACGTAGCTCCAGTAAGTTTCACAAGAATCTCATTTTATGTGAAAGTTTTTTATCATCAACTTTTAATGTTGAAATAACCGAAAATAATTGTCTGATTCATTTACGAATCATTTTTCCGAGTGCTGGATTTCTTCCTGCATTCTCCTGTCTCATGTTTCTGAATTGGACTATTTCATGTCGAGATGAGCAGTTTTACTGCATCGTTGTCCATCAGATATTTTAGATCGAAGTTTTGGCATCTTACTGCTAATATCTTCTTTTAATACCTAAAATTATTATTACTATTATTATTATTATTATTAATTATTACCAATTGTTAATCATCGTTATTATTATTAATTATTCGTTATTATGACTAATGATTACAAAATTTAGATATTATTACTGTTTGTTACAAATTATTAGTTCATCATACATTGGTTCCAAAAGGATATGTCGTCTTGCAATGATTTAACTCCGGATTTGTTTTGTTTTAACTGCTACTTATCATTGGTCTTTTGTATTGCAGCAGTGAATCGCGGGATCTATTGATTAAGTGTACTTGTTTCAATACATGCTGGTAAAAATAGATAGAATGTAAAAGCGAAATTAATAAAGAATATGGTTTACGATTTTGATACCTCAATCCGTTTTACAAATTGACACCTCTAGATTGATGACAACTTTTTATTATCTTGGTTAAATTCGGGTTTATAACTAATGGTTTTATATTTGCTAGGTTTTGTTGAAGATCCATTGACCCAGGATTTCATTGATTTGCAGATTTAATGAAAATTTGGCAGAGAGATTTCAATCTGGATATCATACTGTATTCTGTTTTTTATTTTTTCACTTTTTTTCTAAGGTATTCATGACTTCTATTTCTTTGTAAATTTTTGTAATTTTATAAGATTAAATGCTGTTAACAATTTCAGAAGTGTCCTATGCTTGCTGAACCAATTCTAATGCTCACTTTTCTATCATGTTTTAATTTGTTGCATAAATTCACTTCCGAAAAATTTTCATCTACAGTTATGTATATGCTATACGTTTGTAAGTGTTGTACGTCGTGATTCATTCAGGTTTGTTGAAATTCAGTAGATAAACTGGTGGTTTTTATTAGTTCACAACTGCCCATTGGTATTAAATGTGGTCAAGCTACTGATTCAGTCAATTTCAATAGATAATGATGCCACACAATTGAGCTGAAGTAAAGGAGACAACATCAGTATGATGATCACACAATTAATAGTTCGTCCTGTCTATATCAACAACTGATTGAAGGTAGCCGTTGTATTGTTTGTTCTTCTGAAAGACTAACTTTTCTAAATCGATAGTTTTCACGAGCCCCTGATTGCGCAGTTGCTGAGTAATGTATCATATGCTTCTCGTCTACAGCATTCAGTAGTCCAGAGTATTATCACATTATAAAATGAAGCAGTGACTGCTGCGACATTCTTATCACTCTATCTAGCTATCATCACAAGCCAACATTTTCTTTTATTTTCCACAAATTGCTCCTCAATAATCCAACTTTCTACACATATTTTTTATTCATTTGATTAGAAATTTTATTGAAGTCCATATTTTGACTAGGAAATTTCTTAAGGAAATATTCCAATGGAAATTCGACTTTTGAAATAGGAGCACTTTTTCCACTCGTATTGTTTCAAAAAAATTTTTGAATATTTTTTCCAGCATAAGGAAATAACGATTGTTTTTTGTGCAGGTGCAAAGTTTGATCATTACAACATTTTCAAAAAGTGTTGACACCATGACAAAGTACTGTTTAATTTCCAACTTCAAAATTAACGCTGCTTTCATTTGAGAGAAAAAAAAAATGCCTTCTAATTCCAGTTAATTAGTTGGTAAATGAGTGAAGAGGAAAGAAAAACCTTGCTTGGAAATGAGTATGGAAATACTAACAGTTATTCGCAAGAATTCCCAATCAAATATACCGTAACAAATCAGTCTTATCAAGTTAATGTTTCCTTCTGGAAAAAAAGACAGCACAAAAAACTTCTCCGTAAGGTTATAGTTCCTTCAAATTTCAGATTTTGCTGACTACTGGTTAATTATTTTATTAATTCTCTTATAAAACAGCTACCTTTGCAAACTGTGTGTGTTACGAAACTTTCAGAAAATACAGGAATGAATGCACTGTTTGACATATTTTTCTAAAATAATATGTTGTTCTTTATTTTACTTCATATGAATTTACGATACAAATAAAAGAGCAAAGTAATATTGTACAGAAGTCAGTTATTAGTCGAGAACTGGGATTTAAAAACGATTATTTCATTCATAGAATAATATGTAGTAATTATAGTACAATGAACATCAACAGCGTCTACAATTATTATACCTCCACGATGAACAACTGTTCACACATTTTTTGCATGGAAATGCAACAGCAACGAATGACGAAGAGCAACGAAAACGAAATATAAATAGTCTTTTGGCAGGAATAACTTTTGCAACGAATGTTATTTTGCTGTTTGCGAATGGAATTGCTTCCGTATTGTCCGGTTCTCTTTCTATTATAAGGTTCACTTTTTAAAAGATTTGGAGATTTCTGTAAACCCAAATCTTCCTGGAAATCCTGAGACTTTCACAGTAGTATTATTCTGCATCTGATTTTTTTTTTTTCAGTTCTCAAAAGTTAAAAATCTTCATGAAAATAAGTAAAAATTTCCTTAACTTAGCACGTTCCTTGATTCGGCTGTGGACTGTATTAGTGGAGTATTAATTTATATCAGCACTTGGGCCATCAATAATACGGACACATTCAATTATCCACGAGGACGAGCACGCTTAGAGCTTATCATTGTTCTCATTTGTTCCGTCATTATGGGTGTCGCTAACATTATGATGATTATCCAATCAGTTGAATCAATTGTGAATAAGAGTGTGAGATATGCTTCATTTCGTAAATAATGACAAATTTCCAACGGAAATGCAAAAACAAAAAAAAAAAAAGCGAATCGACTTACGATTTACAAGAAAACCAATAAAAAGTTAACACTTTTTAAACCATTTAACCTTTCATTTTTGAATAAGTACCATTTGCAGATATATCCAAATGCAAGCGTACCTACTATTTGCATATTAGTTATCGCTTGTGCAATAAAAGTACTACTGATGATATTTTGCTATAGACACGGTACACCCGGCTCACGGGTTCGTTTCCCTTTTTAAATAGATATTCCAGCTTAATTTAAGAGTGAAAACAAAGGTGGCTTTTTGAGATTGTCAAGATTTATATGTAAGTGGTTAATAGAATAACTATAACTGGTATAACCAACAATGTTGATGGAAGGATTTTCAGACACTAGCAATGGATCAGCGAAATGATATTATAACAAGTGCGGTTGCACTAATTAGCGCTTTTATTGGTGACAAATATTGGCTTTATGCGGACCCGATTGGAGCCATTTGTGTCTGGTGAAAATATTGTCCATTTCTGATTATAATGCTTGAATTTTGTTTGTGACGCTTTGCTAAATTCTGCCGTTTGTTATTATTTTTTTGGCATTGTTTGGATTCACTTCCCTTTCATTTCGATCCCGCTATCAAAATTGTGATAGCGGGATCGAAATTAGGTCTTCACGTAAGAGTATCAAATAATATGTTACAGCACATTTGTGGCCTGCTCGTGGTTTTTTAATGCAGCAGACAATATACCAATGCTGGTGGGTAAACGTGGTGATCAGGAGAATCTATCACGCATCATTCGGATCTGTGTGGAGCACGACGAACACATCAAATGTCTGGATCATGTTATGGTTTATCACACAGGTTCCTTGGCGACAGTGGAAGTACACATTGTGCTTGACGATGACTTGCCACTCAAAATTACTCATGATATCATCGAATCGCTAACAAAAAAAATCTCAGTTTTACCATTTGTCGAACGAGCTTTTGTACACGGTGATTACCGTTGTGATGGTGACTGGGCCGAGTAACTTTTTGCTTGTTCATTTCTTTATGTTTTGATTGAATATGTAGTCTATAAAGTTTGGAGCGAGGAGCAATAACTATTACGTTAGCACTTTGAGTGATAGCAGTAAGTTTAAATTGTTATATTGGATCTATTGTTACAAAATAGGTTTTTATTGTATTTTGAGTTAAAGTTTCATATAAATCAATTACTGCATAAAACATATTGAATATTATGGCTTCGTACTGTTCTAAAGCGTATTTCACTTTATTCATCTTACGCTTAATTTGTAAGTTCAGACAAATCTCAGAAACTATCTAGTAATTCGTACTTTTTATTGGCCTGGATTTTATTTTATTCGTAACTAAGATATATTGTTGATTTTTTGGTCATTTACTTCACATTCTAGTGAGATTTTTGAGAAAAAAATAATATCTAGCAATCGAAGTCTCACTTGAGAGATTGTGCTTTTGGATAAATTTTGTCCCCTTATTTGTGAAATTCAGTATTTACAGCTTACACGATCTTTTTCTGTTACGGAGACTTGAAAAAACTTGAAAAAGAGCCAAAAATTAAAACTGATATAGTGAGTGATCGATTCCCTGCGTCCTCATTGTCTGCTTCATTATCAGATCCCCACTGGTGATCAGAAATGGAAACCACTCGGAACTGTGAACCATCTGCAAATTATTTATCGAAAATCGCATTTGAAACGTTATTCCAAACTTATTGAACAATTTATGCTGCTTACATAAGTTCTTCGTTTAGTTTTACAAACATGAGATTTTCAGTCTACACATTAATTTTGACAAAAAATAAGTTCTAGAAATAATGTAATAATGCAATAACATCCAACCAGGTTGTGGATCGCATCCATTGTGAAATAAGGGTATGTCCAAATATCTAGGTGTATTTTAGTTTAAAAACTCAAAGTGAAGGACAACGAATTACACACTCCTCAAGTAATTTTGGTTGAGCACAGCACTAGCTTCATTAAACTAGACTTTTCGTACGTACAGGACTTATCAAATGATTCTAATTTCAAATTTGTAAAAGTAACAAATATCGTAAAATAAGAACAGAAAACATATAACATAATTTGCATCTTGGATTTCGAAAATAATCATTATCCTTCTCAAACTGTAAATTCCTCAAATAGAGAACTATGATTAATTTGTTACTCCACTGAATCCAAGCATAAGATCTTCACTTTCTTCACCCATATTTTGCAGTATGTGCAGTAGAAGCTTAGCGAAATTAGTAGCTGAAGGACTTGCAAAAACTATGGGAACAATTTTCTAGTTGACATGAGCTGTTTGATTTATGGCAGACAAAAACAAGCAACACTAATGATGAACCATTGAATTAATTGAGCCTTTCTTATAACGTCTATTCATTTTTCAAGCACTACTTTTTCTTCAAAGAACAGCAAAACGATACGCTTTAGAAAATTACATTTTGAAAAGTATCGAGTGAGTAAAACTGAACATGGAAGTAAAACCACATCTAAAATCACAGCGCTAAACAGCTAAAGAAATACGACTATTACAATGCATAATAAATCCCCTTATACGCATTTCCACTTCACGCTTTACTATGTATATAGCTTGTTTTACAATATAACCGATTTACATCTTGGACAACTGATTTTTCAGTTCTGTAAATTATGTGAAGGTCGAGCAGATATTATTACTATATATATTACAAAGGAATTGTAAAAGAACACATGATTTTATAATGCGAATGAAGTGATAAGATCAGAGAAGGCCTCTCATAACATCTGAAGACTTTGAAGTTTTTTTTTTTTTTTTAAGTTCCTTAATACCACTCAAAACCAGCACTACTCAAGAGAAATTTCTGTAGTCATCGTCAATAAAAGCAAAAATAGAAATTAATTACTTCTCATCATTTCAGTATAAATCTGTCAATTGCTCAAATTAAAAAACTTTCTTTCTACAACGTAAATCAGTTGCGGTTTACTGTGACTACGATATAATACTGCAAAAGTGTCAATTAGAAAGATAAGTTTCATCATCATCAGATACCTTCTTCAAGAGAATTGAAAATAAATCGAATTTCCTGAAAATCCTTCAAACAAAATTTAAGCTTCTCATGTAGCAAACTAATTTTTTTGCAACCGTCTTAACCTTTTCATAGAGATAAAAGACGAATCAATTCTAGAAAATCAGCAAGGAATTCGGTCCTGTGAAAGCAATATAGAGAGCATCAACAATAAGAAATTAAGTAAAAAATGACAGAAAACACTATGCATAATATACATAATGTATAGCATTAAATATTACATATCCAAATCATGAAATAAATGACGTAGGGATATCTTCTACCGAAGAATATATATAATGTTAAAAAGTCACAACGAAAAGAAAGGATTTGTGCAACAAAAAACTTGATGGTCATAGAAACAACTTAGTGATCAGAAAACTAAGAAATAAAAGTTCAATAATCATGGATTTATCTTTAAAAATTTATCCAAATGAGACAAGTTTACCCAACGAATCTTTTTGTAAAGCACTTCTGTACCTATTTCATAAAATATTTAGCCGCAACGTATCGCTTCATTTTATTCACTGCTGAAGTTTACAGAAGTGCCTGAAAAACTGATTTCAATGACCCTCACTAAGAACTTAATATCAAATATTAAATAGCTAAAGAATAAATTACAATAGTAAACAGGTGCACAACTGGCTCGTTATATTAATTCACTCTTCGATTAAGCTAACAATGTTCCAAAGGATATGCAGAAACCAACCAAACTTTCATAAAAATAAAAGATACTCCATATCTTCAAATAAGGGGTAATTGCATTATTTAAGCGGTTTCAGCTTTGTAAATTGTAGCTGTTCTGCTGAATACGTTGAGTATCGCCTGACAAACTTTCCAGCACCCTAAAAAGTACCTCAGGACACAATAAAGTACGAAGTTCAGTTTCTTTAATAATTTTCATCACACAGTAATCAAACACTACTCATGATGACAAAATACGTGAAGCAAAACATCAGAAATTTGAAACATAACTCAAAAAAGCATCGACGCAAGGAAAAGAGAACAAATAACAGCACTACAATTCGGGTTTTGCATCAGGAAGTTCTGGATATATATCCAAATGTGGAAATGCTTTCTGACAAAGCTTTCGAGCAATCTCTGCCAAATCATATCCTGCTTTATAATACAACGTTTTAGGTGCATTGAATTTAAAACAGTTGCTAAATAATCGTCGAAGATCGGCAACAAACAGTCTTTCCTGCAAACGAAAACCATGAAAAATATAGTGCTAAATTTCAAGGTAATTCATAGCAATATAATTTAATGCAAAAAATGTTAAGCCACTACGAAAAGCTTGTAATAACAGTAGAATAGAAGACTTACGTGCACATAATACTTCGCCCTACAGCGTTCATTCATCGTCTTTAAATCAGTAGGAAATTTAATGTAACCATAGTATTCCGGGACTTCTTCCGCATTCACTGGTTTTAGAAATGGCCATGATGATTTATCAGTCCTCAGTTTATGAAGAATGTTTCGAATTTTGTACTCAAGTTCTTCATGCGGCATTGATTTATCTTCACATTGTTCTAACCCAGGTAATTCGGCATAAGGGACTAATGAACCTGCTGAAAATTAAAAAGAATAGAATTAGTAAAAAAAGAAAAAGTCGTAGAATACTTAGCGACCTTGTTGTCAAGATTTGGAGGTTATAATGCATTAGATGAAATAATTGTTGACAATAACGACCGCACTCACTATTTTAAAATCCAGATTATAGTGATGACTAAGCAATACATCAGTAAAGCCATGATAAACTTGTGGTTCGATAAGCATAAACTACAGACACACAAAACACATGGAAACTACACCATGCCACAGAAAGACGTTTTCAATTCCTGCACATTTCTTCTCTTCCTTGAAGAAGCTTTCTTTCACAGCATTTCGGTAGAGATCATGAAGACGTTTCAAGAAAACCGCAAAACTTGTATAAACTATCCTGAAAATCATGTACAATCATAAGTTATTTTAAAAATCAACTTTCTTTTCGTAATAAATATTTTCAGCAAAACGTATTAGTTTTGTTTGTTCAGTAAACGCATACCACGGATGTAACTGGCAGCCCATTAACGTCGCCCCTTCGTAGTCTTTGATGTAACCATGATACTGTTTTTTGTCCATCGCTATTTTTTCGGAAAAACCCTGTTTTTTGAAATAACCAACAGCAAATTCATCTGCATATGTCAAGAAGTGATATATATGACATGCTCCCACATGATAATCTTTCAAATGATTCATCAAACGAGTACCATAACCTTTCACCTAAAAATTCGACTTCCTTATCACCAAAAAAACTAACAAGAACATTACTGAATACGAAACGAAATAACCTGTTCATTCGCAGTTACAGCACAAAATACGATTTCGATAAACCCTTGTGCTGGAAATTGCCTAAAGCAAATGCCTCCAATAACGCCTCGCTCTGAAAATTAAGTAAATATCAAGAAATATCTCGAGGAAGCAATATCAAAACAAAGGTAAAAAAGATGTAATGCCAAAATATTCTTAATTCAGAAATTGTAAATGCTATGACGGGTAACCTTTTTTGACGATGACCAGATTTTTGTGACGACTGTCGAATACAAGTCTCGTGATATATTCTTTAGGCATGCGAGGCAACTGTGTACTAAACAAACACTGCAGTTGCAATAACCATGTAAGCTTTTGACGGCTCTGATGCCAGTCAAAATTATTTGAAATTACATGGAAAGAAATGACACCATTATATTCCTGAAATTTATACACATCTTTGAAATTTCAATTTCAGGGCTCAAACGACTTTCAATCTTCAGTGAAATGGCAAGCTTCTAAAAACTTTTTTTTCTTTGCTGAAGCTTAAACAGATTGAAGACAAAAAGAAAAGTCACAGCAGATCACAGATAAATCCAACATTACTTCCAATCGCGACACTTCACTTCTAGCAACGTCTACTTCAAAAGCATCCATTTTGTGCACCAAAGATTTCGATACCCTACATGTTAATTCCATACGAGCAATGAACCGTACCATCAAAGATTCATCAAACTCACGTCTCATTTCAAGGTGCATGGTTGAATTTGACTGCTCAGATCCTGAAATAAAAAGAAAAATTAAATATGAAATTCAACTAACTTTGAAAGCACGTCCGTAAAACAATGAACACGATGTCTATTTCATAACTATAAATTCGTGAAAAAAAATCAACACTAAGATTAAAATTTGTACAAAGAAAAAACAACCTTGAAAGGCTAAATCTGCTTCAAGAAAATCTGCAGTCATATCTAGATGAGGATCAGCAGCCCAAATGGAACATCCTCGTTTGTGAGTAGGACGAGGAACTCCTTCCGGAAAAGTAAGCATTGTCGATGAATCTGTCACTGAATCATGGCAGTTTAAATTTTTTCTCAAATCGGATACAAAATCAATTAGTTCTCCGGTGACCTAAAAAAGGTATTGATTAATAGAAAAAGCAAGAAACTACTCAAGAAATTGCAACTGTCTTTTTTTTTAAAGTACATAAATCAATTTGATTGTTTAGATCCTGAAATAACCAAAAGCACATTTAGCGATATAAAATTCAATAAAACAAACTTGATCTTTCAAGGAACTAGTATGCTCTTTCACGTCAATTACGAAAAATGGAAGCAAAGTGATTAGAAATTTGCGACCAAATATCTTGATAACACAATATGGTCGAAGCGACCCGTGCTTCTTTGGTAAGAAACAGAATCGTAACCATCTTGCATAAATGATACGATAAGACAACAGATTTGAACACAACACTAAAAAATTATAAATTAACCAGAAGAACTTTTCAATATCAGAATAAATTTGAATAAAGTAAAGAAAAACAATTTGGTCATTCTGGAAAATTTTCCTAATACTTACTAACGCGATAAAGAAATAAATTACATCACTCTCAATCATTTGTTCGGAAATAAGCATTTTTTCTCACATTTTTCCTGCATTATTTTTACAGGTGGTATGTTCCAGTCATTTATCGTGCATAAGAAATTTGATGCTGTTTGTACAATATTTTCCAGTTCCCTGAAACTTGTTTTGTTTCATGGCAAAAAATCCCAAAGAAGAAAGATCAAATTCGAAGAATAAAAATCATATTTTCTGTCTTGTCTTCTGTGAAAACCTGACAGACCGGATTAAACAGAAGTGCAACAGAAAAGGAACTAAGAAACACTGCTCTTTACATATATGACTATATGACAAAAAATGCTTTTTCCCCGTGAAATTTAACAAATAAGATAAAACATTACTTTTGTTTCCCAGTGCTTTTGCTGACAACGAAATGTGAAACAATGTCTTCAATCGATATGGGCTCAAACGGCGGAAATCCAAAGGAAGATGCAATTAATCGTTCACAACTACCGTTAGCGATTTCTTTTGTTAAAGTTCTCTGAGTTTGCTTAACGATCTACAAATACTAAAATTTCACCAACTAGCCAGCCAACGAGTTTGCTAAAAAAGCAGTTTTTACATTTCCTTGGACTGAAAAAACCAGTGGAAGAATATTTAATAACCCCAACTGTTTGAATCATTAAAGAATAATGAAACCAGTAAATATTCTAAAATTCATTCCACACACCTGCAGAATTTCAGAAGGCTCATCCCCAATCAGCCTTTCTTGCATCTTCTCTGCATCTGACATCATGAACAACAATTTTCTAATATCATTTCTTTTCTTCTCTCGTAACCTGTCTAAATGTCTTCCTGTAAAGGTGACATAAGACCGTTAAAAAAATGATTTGTGAGAGGTTAACCGTGTTCAGTAATACTGTCCTAATATAGTGACCTTTCAAGGGAGGTTTGAGCAAAGACTAGAGGCTATGTGAGTCAACAAATTGGTATATCTACTAATAGAAATGTAAACAAACCAAGAGAGTGCCTGCATGTTTCGCAAGGTGTCGAAAAGAGAACATCATCAAGAAAAGCACTGGTTATCACATACGGATTCTCACTGTCACACATTAATTTCCAACCACGACAGTGGCACAGAGAGCACCTCGTATGCATCGCTAGTTTTTTCCAGCTTTTCTCATCCAACAACTCGCCTTCTGGCCATAACTTCATGCTGCTGCAAAAGGACCAACGATTAAGGTGGAGATAAAACAAAATGAGATAAACAAATCTGAACGCCAACAGACATCCCTTTACAGTTGCAGTCAGACAGGTCCAACACATGTCATCCGCATCCGCTGTCTCCACCACATCCCTAAATAAATCAACAATCAGTACAGAACATATATCATTCAGCTTGTTATGACAACAGCAATTCTGCTGCAATTCTCGCACAGATCTTCAAGCTGGATCCTTTGCACTGTAAGCTATATAAGATAGCAGAATTTTAACGGAAGTTAGATATGGTTAAGGGTGAGCAGGGTTGCTTCGCTCTATTTGATTATTCGGCCTTACACGTACTGGTTACATATAAATTTTCATGAGAAGCGGACTTTTGTATCTGCTGACAGTAGCAACATAAAGTTGTTTTCTGAAGAAAAACGACAGTATATCTTCCCGGTTTGACAGTATGTTTTGCAGGTGCGAATGGAAGAAAATGGAATGAAGGCAAAGCTTGAAGTAGAGTTTATCAAAAATGACAATCCAGTAGAGTCAGTGATTAAAAATAACAGTGCGGATGAACTTATTTCCCTGACTTTACCAACTCAAACGCGTTCTAACAAAAGGAAGCACATCAGGTTCTACATTCTTCTTTATTTCTTATCATAATCTACTTCATAGTTCCCATGGTTTTAGACAATCGGATACGTTTTAAGTCTTTAAATGAGCGACTTTACCAAACTCTAACTGTTCTAGTACTATATTGTCTTCAAAGATGGAACACATCATATTTTTATATTTTAGAACAGATTTCGATGAAATAAAAGTGTCATTCGACGCCGTTGAGGCACAAAGACAAGAAAGAGAGCGGCTAGAACGCTTGTCAAAAATATATGAGTCGGAAATTGGTGATTTTGTAGAAGCGCAGTACAGAGAAGGATTAAGTGCTAGTGAAGATCCATATGTGAAATTGGAGCCGGTATCCAAATATCTGAAAACGTCATCTCTGCCTGATGTGAAGCCTTCAACGTCTTTTATAGATGATGTAATAGAACTGAGTAGTGATGACGATTCCGATGTCGACTGTCGTCCACTTGGTTTGTCTTGAAACTCTGTGACTTTGTGATAAAATTTGCATAACCATTTTTTGTTAACTCAAAGCAACACACACCAATTCTATATTATTTGATTTTTCCTACCGGTACATTATTCTGTAATTCATAAGTGATGCCGAGCGGACTCGTGCTTTCTGTTCTTATGATGGGATTACAAGAAATAGAGGTAATTCCGAAACAAGGATTACCAGGAATTTTTTAAGTTAGTACGAATTGTTGCGAAGTTTTTTTTATCTTTTTTAAAATACTTTGTCTTCAGGTTGAAAATTTTCAGATCTAATTCAGCCACTGCCATTACGCCGACGGTCATCGTTATACAGGGTGTGTTTTGCTGGTCGTTTTTTTTTTTTTTTTTTTTTTTTTTTTTCAACTAAATTGATTTGCACTTTGGAAAAATTCTGCATTGAAAAAGTGCAGGTAGTACATGAAGACGTAACCGATGAGCTGCATCGTGTTGAACGTGAAAGACTATGTAAAAAGCTACTTACGGAGGAGGAACTTGAAAGTAAGAATTTGATGGGAGGTCGATTACTTGTGAACCCTGGAAAGGCGACTGATGAAGCTGATGTTTATGTCCCCTTTCATCTCAATGATGTGCTTCAGCCGCATCAACTGGGAGGCATACGATTCATGTTAGTTTTTTACCTGTTTATTTGATAAAACCTTGATGAGTTTGTTATAGAAATAGATTCCACCATGCCTTCGAAAAAGGAAAAAAAAAACTGAACTATGAACGGCGAATTTTGATTTAATTTCATAGTATATCCCTTGTGTGTTCTTTCATATATCTCAAAATGTGAATGACAGGTACGGCAATATCATCGAAAGTGCGAAAGAGTATGAAAAATCAGCTGGTTTTGGTTGTATTTTGGCGCATGCGATGGGATTGGGAAAAACGATTCAGGTTATTATATTGATCTGAAAAGCTACAGATTTTGAGAAGAGTATAACAAATAGTCTTTTTCAGATAATTGCATTTACGGACATTTTTGTCCGCACGACAAATGCAAAAAAGATATTGATCATTGTGCCGGTAAATACGATACTGAATTGGTATTCCGAGTTTGAAAAATGGTTGCCTAAGTGAGTTCTTTTTATTCATTTTTCCTGAAATCATTTTAAGTTTTTTTTTTTTTTTTGGATTCTTCTGCCTGTGATTTTTTTTTTTTCAGCAGAGCTAATGAAGCAGGAGAAAACATACGTCCATTTGTAGTTTGGCTTTTGGGTGATGCAGTAAAAACAAATGAACAGCGCGCAGAATTAATACGTTTGTTTTCAATATTTTAAGTAAATCGGTGTTAGAGGGTGTAGGACAGTTTTATTGTATTGAAATTTATAATGATATAAAAATTAGTTTTCGGTTATGAAATGCTGAAGAAAACATCAGCGACACAGTAGCTGGTAAGGAGTAAATCTGTGAAGGAACATGGAAGTGCTGCAAAGTAACTACTTGGGAAGTGGAAGTGTTTAGTGTGGTATGAGTTTTTCCTTTTTTTAGCTTTGAAAATTAAAAGGATGTAGTTTAGTGCTTTTTCAGCGGTTCTTTTGAGTGGGGAGAATGAGAATTATATGCATATTTTGATAGAGTTTATTGATATTTAGAAAAATGGCACACAGAAGGAGGTGTTCTGTTAATTGGTTATGATATGTTTCGTTTGCTGGTGCAAATAAAACCAAAAAAACGGGTTACTGGAAGACCTAACAAGAAAACAGAAGAAATAGTTGATCTGGAAAAGGAAGAGTTGGATGCGATGGCTCTTTGTGGTAAACGTTATTTTTATGAAATTAAGCATTATTTAGAATCGGTGATGGACTCCAACTAGCTATTCTTTGCAGCAGCTCGAGAAGCTTTATTGGATCCTGGTCCTGATTTGGTCGTGTGTGACGAGGGTCATCGCATAAAAAATGAAAGAACAGGAATAGCAGCAGCTTTAAGTGCTATAAAGACAAGGTACGTCATAAAATTTTTGTAAAAGATAATAAAGGGCATGTCATAAGTGGATTGAGATTGGCAGCTGAGCACTTTCTCCTCAGAAGAAGAATGGACTACTGAGATAAAAATTTTAGTTTCTAATATGGGTCATTAAAAATCTTTTCCATGTATTCCATGTAATTTTTTTCCTAAAGAAAACTTCAGTTTGATAAATTTTATCTCGGATTATTAACAAATAAATTCATAAATAAGCATGCTGCGTTTCCTAATGATGCTCAGCGTTCGGCTTTCTACTGAGAACTCAGTTATTAAACAGCCTAGTGAAAGTGGCCAGTGGAACTCTCATTTGGTACTATGGTAATTAAATGCTTCTTGTGAAGCTCATTCTATATGTTGTTCCAGAAAACATGCGACATTTTTTTCAGACGTCGGATCGTGTTAACGGGTTATCCCTTGCAGAACAATTTGATGGAATATTATTGTATGGTAGATTTTGTAAGACCTCATTATTTGGGTTCGAAGAAAGAATTCAGTGTTATGTTTGAAAAGCCAATAAAAAACGGACTCTGTATTGATTCTACACCGTCGGATCTCAAAATTGGCCGTCAACGTACTCATGTCCTTATTGAGTTATTGAAAGGATTTGTACAGCGGTACTAGTTTTAATTACGAATATTTTCTTTGCATTCTTAGCATCTTAGGATCTTCTTAGCATGCATTCTTAGCAACATATAGAGAAATTAAAAAAAATTGTAGGCGGACGCATCATTTGTTAAAAAACACCCTACCGCCGAGTTCTGAATTTGTTATATTATTGCGTAAAAGTCCGGTACAGAGAATGCTTTACCGAGCATTTTTACAATATGCACAGAACGAAATTAGTGTTAGCGGAACTGCAGTTTTCAATCCACTTAAAGCATTCGCCGTTTGTTCAAAGGTTTATTTTTTACTTATATTGAGATTCTTTCGCTATTTTTGTTTCTAAAATACACCATATTTTCCAAAATTTTCACCAGTCTAAAATTTTAAAGATATCAATAACATGTTCATTAAAGTATGTTCATTAAAGTATGTTCATTAAAGATTTGGAATCATCCGGATATCTTATATGAAGTTTTCCAAAAAAGAAAAATTGAATATGAAAGCGGAATTAACGAAAAAAATGCGCAATGCGCAGCACCAGAAGCAGCCACAGATGATTTGACGGGTGAGACCTGTTTTATGAGAAGGTATTTATAATCAGATATCCATTGGTGTTCATTATGAGATAAATTCAAAAATATTTTAGATTCAGCTTTATCGCTTGCTTTAATTGATTCGTCAACGTTGCCTACCGTATTAAGCGATCCGACAACTTTGCAGTCTTCGCTAGATAGCTTTAGCTATGATAGTAAATCTTTCTTTGACGAGAAATTCTCTGCTGATGATTTGGATACAATTTTGCAAGACACTGGTGGTATGTGTCTAGCAGTGGAAGAGACATCTCAAATAGCGCCATGTATGTTGTGATCGGTTCTTAAATCAGAATTTTGTATTTTGCTGGGTTGGAATTTTTGACTTATATGAAGTTTTCCAAAAAAGAAAAATTGAGTATGAAAGCGGAATTAACGAAAAAAATGCACAATGCGCAACACCAGAAGCAGCTACAGATGATTTGACGGGTGAGATCTGTTTTATGAGAAGGTGTGTAATTCTGTTCCATTATGTTATCATTCTGTCTTATTTTTAAAAGGTATGATTTTTTCAAGCATTTTCTGTCAATGATAGTGCCAATGCTGTTCACTTCGCTGTGAATGCGATTTCTCATAAAATGGGCGTTCGTTCGAAACATAGCACTATTGCTAATGCTTTGCTTGAGGAACTTAATCTTGATAAGGGAATTAAATACGACTGGGTAAGTTTAAGTTATTTTTGACAGTGTACATGATCTAAGTTTTTATGGGTTGAGTTTTTATGCCTTTCAGTTCATTAAAACTTGGTATGTTGCATGTGTATAATATTTTTTCTAATTCTTTATTTTTCAGGATATGTAAATACATTGTTTTAGGCTACATTTGCTCTTCATGGATACAAACCTGGTGTTCTTGAGAATGGTTACAAAATGGTGGTGTCGTTAGCTATTATTGAACAAGCTGTGTTGAATGGTGAAAAGGTGTTACTGTTCAGGTATTTCTAGGATTTTATTGTAAGAAAAAATTTAATTTCAATACATTTCTTTTTGCTTTTCTACTGAAAAAATTTGTTTCAACTTTTAGTGGCAGACTTGCGTGTGTCTCATTCTTACATTTTTAGTCAAAGTTTGCTTACTCTCAACCAGATTGAACGCTTTCTTGAAACATCGAGCTCTGTAACTGTTGGTAACGAAAAGCTTCGCTGGAAAAAGAGTATCAATTACTACCGTTAGTTTTACGTTACTGAACTAATTGAAACCGCAATAGTTAATGCATCTTGTTTATAACATTTAAGAAACGATTTTTCGATTAGTGCTTAAATTATTAAGATAATTTCAGGTTTTGATGGGTCAACCACGGCTACAGAAAGAGAGAAATTGATAAATCGTTTTAATCAAGATCCTAATATTCTTCTCTTTCTTATATCAACTCGGGCTGGATCGCTTGGCATAAATCTCGTAACTTTCATAATTCATTTTCAAAACTGTGGTATGGAGTTTTGATGTTAAAAGTCGGCAATATATGTTTCATATGAGACTAATTCTAATATCGCATGAATTATGATACTAAAATTCAGTTATTGTAGTTCTTGCTTTTATCCGTTTGTTTTAAATTGGCGTGATTTTTTAAAGGTTTCTGCAAGTCGTGTTATTATCTTTGATGCTTCTTGGAACCCGTGTCACGACGCGCAAGCAGTATGTCGTATATACAGATACGGTCAAAAAAGGCGTACATACGTGTATCGTTTGATTATGGACAACAGCATGGAGAGGGCCATTTTTAGTCGTCAAATTGGAAAGAATGGATTACAACGTAATCAAACAGTTTATCATGTGTTTCTTGGTTGTTTTTAGACATCTTTTTAAACACTTACATTTAGAACGAGTTGTAGACGATAAGCAGATGGACATTGACATCACGAAGCGTGAAATGGAGCAGCTTCTTGTCTACGATGTAAGATCTCATATTTATTCTGTATATTGTACGATTCTTAGATTTAATAAGGGTATTGTTGACACAAGTACTGTTATTAGATGACATGAATATGCGAGAAATCATTTTAGGAGTCACTTGATGTGGCTACAGAAGAATGGAACATAACTACTTGGCAAATTGATGATGCTTTGCTTTGGATGACAGCTCTGTCTCATTCAAAAATGTTTTCTCAAGTAAAATTCATTTTTCTTGGTTTTTAGTTTATATATATACTAAATGATAATACTCAGATATTTGAGTATTTGTTTCGTTTCTTCAGATTAATGATTTTGGTTTTATCAGATTCCGTTCTTGCACGAAAGCCTACTGATGGAAAGGGAAGATCGACTAAGCGAGGAAGAAAAGCTCGAAGCCAGGATGCTTTATGAAAGAGAAAAACAAATCTACAAAAATGGAGATTTTGATTATGATTGGACACTACGTAGTGGTGGTGGTCGTAGTAATGAATTTGAGGGTCCACGAATGTCGTTCCCACGAATTTGGCCATCAGCATCGTAAACTTTCAAGTTTCTTGTTAAGATTGCTGTGGCTTAAGATAATCATTGTCTTTAGGCAACAAATGCACGATCCAATGCCACTTAGACCAACACCAATGGCAATGATTCTTGAGCGCACCATGGAAAATTTGAACAATGAGGAACCTACGGCTACATCAGAAGAACATTCTAACATCCATGCCAAAGAAATCATCTCTGACAGAGGTATGTTCTTCCTTCTGAATAAGGAAGGGGATGCTCTGATTTTGTGGTTTGCTCTATATGACAGTTTCTGTTGATGACTTCTACTTGTTTTCTGTTTTTTATAGAAATGGAGCTTCCATGTTTAACTGCTCCTGGACAAAAAGGAAAAGTTAAACTACATGAGAAATGCTGGCTGGTGACTTTACCGAGTGGAATTTTCATTCGATCGTTGCGTGGTGATGTTTATGACGCTCGCGGTACAGTTTATGACAAGTCAAGATGTCAGTCCTTTTAATTATGCAGCTCAGTAATATTGTCATTGTAGATGTCGTAAATATTATTCAGGTGCCTCCAGTGAATTTTTAAAATGACTTTGTTTGACAAATATATTTCAGATAAGACAGGAAAGGGACAAAATTCATTTGCTCCCAGTGAGGTGATCGATTTGTGTGATTCTGATTGATAATTCGCTAGTACTTATTTGGCAGAACCCTTGTCATGTTCCTTGTCTTCCCTTGATTATATCTAATATTTAGATATCTCCAGTTTTACTACATTTTGTGTAAATTAATTTACACTTTTCCTTTTTTAACACGTCCGATTGAAATACTAACTGATTTTTCATTAGAATATTATGTAGGAGACGTCTATCACTTCAATGAATGTTACGTAACACTTTAAGATCTAATCTTTTGTAGGAATTAGTGAATTTCTTAAATTATGGAAAGCATGTTCGTTCCATAGTGGTATCTCCCGTTGCTCCCAAATTGGATTTTATTGTAAATTGGTGAAAGTCAATTTTTTTGACAACCTTATTCTATGGAAATTCCGTCATTATCACTTTACTATCATGTGTTAGTTATATTTGTTTGATTTGAGGTAGCTTGTACCCTTATTTGAGTCACATCAAATCAGAGCCCAGTGCAAAAAAAGAAATGTGAAGGCTAAAGGGAATGTGCCCCTTTTTTGGACTAATTAATCTGAATAAACACCGAATCCTTATATTTTTCCAGTTACTTTGAAATTGTGTTTGTTTTAAAGCATTTTAATATAAGTGCTTTTGTTTATGACTTTTACGTTCAGTGATTCCTTAATTTAACTAGTTTACTTAATCTCCGAAAATTAAATGACTCCTTCAATAATGAAAGTGATGTCTTTTTGGGGAGATGCATAAACCGATTTTTAATGAGTTTGTTGCAGCGTTATTATGCTTTATCCAGTGAGTCGATTAATTGTCCTAAGATGATCCGGTAGAGAGTTAAAGATGATAGGTTCCTTCGGAAAAGTTTCACTGTATTAAGCTTATAAAAAACTGATGAGCAAAGGAACAAACTGATGTTGAGGTGTCGAATTCTGGCAGGGAGGGGAAATTGATTTATATAATATATATATATATATATATATATATATATATATATAACCATGGCGGAACGAACCGCAGTGGCTAGATAAAGAGAAAAGTAAATGGCCACGATGGGAATTCAAATATCAAGGAGACGATGAATTTAATAAAGCAATTATGACGGCTGTTAGAAAGGTAAAGAAAACTTTCAAATCAGTAAAAATTCAGTTCATATATACATATATATATATGGGACCAAGAACCCCGAGATAATAGGATGATTACAGCATGTAAGCTTTTACAACACTTGTTCACTGGGATTTTAGTTGGTGCCTGTGTAGAGTGGAACAAAGATGATAGTTAATATATGGTTATGCAGTGACAATAAAAATATGAATTTTTGGAAGAAATTTTCTGGTTGGGATCTAAAGAGGATCCCATTTAGTCCAAATTAGGAAGCTGCATATCTGTTTCACTTTTCATTCAACAGTAACGGATTTGGCTAGGTTGCGTGGACGATCAACCTGAAAAACAGCTCTACCTAAATGCGAATAATTTCCGTGTACTATGCGTAACAATTGCTTTAAAGTCCAGTCCTATAAACAATGAAGGTTTGCAAATACAGATGAGACGATGCAACCTTTTAGCAGAACTCACATTTAGTCCTTTTAATTCAGCAACATGATAGCTGAGCAGTTGCAGAGGAATAACAGTAAGGATGTTCTGGATGCAATCTACTGTCTTTGGAACACGAAGCACCGAATGCCTACCCCTCACGTCATTCTCTGGTACACCAAAGTCCGCAATAATAATAGGGTCGCCATCACGAGCAAGTACTTGTTGTAGAGCGTTGACTGATTTCTAAATCAAAGAGGCAGATTTATGCCAGAAATATTGGAAATAAAATAACAACTACAGGTAAATTTGGATGCATTTTCTCGACGAGTTTTGTTGAACTCTTCATTCAATTTCGAAAAAATTTTCTGCAAACATAAACCACAATTACGATGTAAACGTTATCGCTGCAGATGACCATGACGATGCTGCGATTCTTATCAACCATTGCAAGCGGACCATGCTTCAGTTCACCGCTCATTATTCCTTCACAGTGCATATATGACAGTTCCTACAAATTCCTCTCAATCCAAAAAATTAACTGAACAAGCTAATTTGAACCTTTAATTTGAACATTTGCTTTACAATACCTTAATTTTCAGTGCACCTTCAAGACAAGTAGCGAAATTGTAGCCTCGACCCATTATCAGAAGTGACCGTTCCTTGTAGATTTTTTTCGCTATTTCAAGTACCTCACCATCAAGTTTTAAAACTTCTCGGATCAGGTCTGTAACAAGTCACTTCTTACTTTTTTCCGTAAGGTTTCAGCTTATTAGCAATATTGACTGCCGTTTAATGAAATGACATAAGGTGCCAAGCTGCTAAATATTTTTTTTGTATGAATATTTTTTTACTGACATGAATGAATAGGCATGAATATTTTTTTCTACTGACAGGAATGAATATATTTAGGGATCAGAAATATTGTAGAAACCTGACCAAGAAGATCCATATTCTCAATAAGCTTAACTAAAAGTGTACCTGGTAACTGCCGTAATCCGTTGATAATATCGTCACGACGCTTGCGCATCGAAATGCGATCGTCGCTCATTGTTAACGCGAACATTACCAGAGATAAAATTTGCGAGGTGTACGCCTATAACCATCGTATCTTAATTTTTTGAATAATTTAATTTCTCCTTAGTAACTTCGAATTTACAATTTACTCGATTAATTCATACGTACTTTAGTTGATGCAACACCAACTTCAGGACCAGCATTAATGTGAACTCCGCAGTGTGTCTCACGACAAATGCTGCTTCCAACCGTATTTGTAATACCTATTGTCAGCGCTCCCCGTGGTTTACAATATCTGCAAAATCTTCCACTAAAATTCTGCAGTTAGGAAAAAACAAAAGTTCTCCAAATGATCGAGTGTAGGTTATTTGCAATACTAGCCTTAAAGCATTGAGAGTATCTGCTGTTTCACCGCTCTGAGATATGAAAAAGCAAACATCATCACGAAATATCGGTGTTTCGCGGTCCAAAAAGTCGCTGGCCAATTCCAGTACTACCGGTAATTCTGTTAATTCTTCCATGATTTGTCGGCACTACAAGTTTTCGGATTTCAATTCCATGAGTTTAAAAACAGCAATTTATAATGTGGTAACAAGAGAGTAACTGAGAATGTTTTACTGCAAAGAGAGTACCGCAAGAGCTGAGTGATATGAACTGCCACATGCTACTAAAATTAGTCGCCTGCACCGCTTAATGTCCAATAAATAATCCTGAAATATAAACATTTGTACATATATATGCTGCTATACATTTCGCTTCTCTTCGTTTTAACTCTTACTGAGTTCATGACAGCATATTCAAATTCATAATGATTGATCGAGAAATCCAGGACGTATAATTTGCCAGCACCACTTTGAAAAAGTAAACCTTTATGCCACCGAGAACAACAGTGCCATCATCAAGTATACGACCTCGCATTGTGTTCACGATAGAATCCGGTTGTTCATAAATTTCCTTCTGCATGAATGTTTTGAAATCACCCATCATTATTTCCTGCAGTTCCAACGTCAAATTCTGAACTTCACGTGTTTGTGGAATTTCATCTCCACGTTTTACACGATGTATTGATAACGCTAAAAGATAAAATGCTGCACAAAAATTCAGTTGAGTTTGGACGCTCGAAAAAAAAAAAAAAAAAAAAGAAAAACTGACGCTTTCTTTAGAACTAACACCTTATTCCTATTTAACTGTATAAACCTAATAATAGAAGTAATGATCAATGAAGTTATGACCTCGCTCGGACACAAAGTGATAAAAGCTAACATCCATTTTCGATCACAGCTACATCATCGTCTTCAAGAAATATGACCTGCTTTGTATGTTCAACAATTGCGCTAAACAACGGATATAATTCGCTAACAGGAAATAATTCTGCTTCAGTTCAAAGCTTCCAATTTCAAAATTGAAAACAAAGAATAAAATAAGTGCTGCAATCACACACTACTGCATTATTTCACTTCCGTTTCATCACATTCGACGAAAAGATAATCTGATAAAAGAGTGTGGAGTAAATGAATGATTCAAAGAGTTACCTTGCATCAGATGCAACAAAGTATTCTGCTTCTTTATAATCAAAAATTTGGAATGCCGCTTCATTGGGTGCTGGAAACCACTTTTACGAATATTCAACATAAATATAAGAAAACTATGAAAACAGTAGTTTGCATGATGTTTACAAAAATGTACCCTCCGTTCCCCTGATGGGCGTGCTTGTTTTGAATCCTGTTTCGATAACCATTGACGATTCCATGTACGATTCATTGGCATATTCGGAAGATATAAAGCGACGAGCTGGAAATTTTTTGAAACTTGAAACACAGTTTTTTGGATACGTTAAGAGTTGATATTGAAAAATAAAAGACTGGTAGAAGCAGTTGAATGCTAGTTTGTAAATTGTAAGAATAAAAAGCGGAACCCTACAAAATAATGAAAGCTCACCTTTACTAAAAAATACTGGAAAGTGATTGGTAGACAGCCTTCCTATAGTTTTGATTCCAATAAGAAGCGGGCTACCGCGTCGTGTCGCCACAAGTTGTCCAGGAAAACGATTGCTTTTGAATGCTAATGCAAATGCACCTTCCTAAAATGTAATGGTGTTTTATCATTTCACAACGGATTCACATAAATTTGAAACTCTGGCAAAAAATTGCCATGAAGATTGTCTCTTCAAACTCGATTCCGGCAGTAATGAATAAGAAAGAACAATGAGCTCGTTCCCTTCTTTTCAAAAAAGATGCAAACAAGCAAGTGTAACAGTTTGTTATGATGAACAGAGATATAATTTTGAATTACTAACAAGATGTTGGATGGTAGCCTCAACAAGCTGACGGAAACTAGCTCCTTCACATTTGCTTGTAATATGTTGAATCAATTTTACAATTACTTCGGTATCAGTTTCCGACTCAAATTCATGGCCTTTCTTCACCAAATATTCCTTAACTTCACGATAGTTCGTTATAATACCATTGTGAACAACCAAAAATTCTGAA